TCCCCTCCCGCCCCTTCTCAGGCTAGAGGAGCCCTTTCATACTGCCTCTTGTTGTGTTTCTGTTAGCAGGTGCGTGGGAAGCAGGCCCTTTCCCAGGGCAATGTCAAGCCATCTCCCTCCAGGCTGGCAGGGCCTCCGTGCCCAATGGCCACTCCTGCGCCTCTTCCTCCTCCTCCTCCACCTCCACCTCCTATCACCAGCTCCATTTCCTGCCTCCGCCTCCACTGCACCCCCGCCAGCCTCTTTTCAGTTCCTTTCGCTACGGCAGGCTCCCCCACGGTGCTGTGGAAGGGCCTTGTGCCGATCCAGGTAGCTTCATCTTCCTTCGTTTGCCTTAATTTGTGCCTTGACATTGTTTTGTTTGCCCCTCACGCTTTCCCTCGCTCCATCCCCCCCCCCCCCCCATTTTCCTCTGTGTGCAAGGAAGCGGCTGTGAGCGAGCGTGTGCGTCTTCACTCCTGACCCACAGGTCTGAAGCCACAGAGCTGGGGCTCTGACCCCTCCGGGGCCGGCGCATCCCACAGCATCCCTCCCAGCAGGGCACGCAGCCCCCCTCTGCAAGGGAGGCCCGCCCTCCTGCACAGCAGATGGTGCCGCAGCTGAGCCCCCAGCCCCCCGTTAGGCGCGCTCTCCAGCCAGGACTGCTTCTTGGCCGTCTCCAGCCTCTGGCCCCGCTCCCTGAAGCGGCAGGGGAATGACGTGCAGGCGGCACCAGGCGTGCCGTTCGCCAGCCCAGGCCGGTCCGGAAGCTGCAGCCCCATGCAAGGAGCGCCTCGGCCACGCGAGAGGCCTTGCGTGTCTCCCGACTGTGTGCGCCCTGTGGGGCTGCCCTGGAGGGGCAGTGCCGCAGTTACTCTGCCGCGCCCACGAGAGCCGTCGGGCTGACCGTCCCGGGGATTCACCCTCGGACCCCTGCATTGCACGCTTCCTCGCTTCAAAAGCATAAACGTTCGGTCAAGCATATGTGGAAAGCAGTGAAAAGCCAAGGCAGTTCAAGGGCTGAGGGCCTTGCCGTATCTTGGGGATTTCATTTTGGTTTTTAAGCCAGTTGTGCCTGCCAAGGAGGGCGGCTGCTGCTGGGAAGTCAAGGCACCAGGACTCCTCACGGCTCTTGCTGGTGAGGCAGAACAAGCACTGCAGCCTTGAAAAGCACGGCGGCAAAAGCATGGAGCACCTCTGAGGGCAACGGCGGGGACACCGAACTGGTGGGAGATCTGTGTGCCTTGGCATCCGGCCAAAGCGGGGCTGCAGTCACAGAGCTCCACGAAGGCTGAACCGGGAAGGACAGCCCCTAAGGAGCGGCAAAGCTCATCGGGCGTCCAGGCATTGCACCCCCAAGTTTGGGTGCAAAAGCTGGCTGGAAGGAAACCGATGCCTTGGAAGCTCAGTGCTGGAGGAGGGGTTTGTGAATGCCTGGGCTGGCAGAAAGACAGGCAAGGGGGCCCTCGATCAAATCACGCCAGAGCCTTCCCTAGAAGCACAAATGACACAGCCGAGGCTGTCGTATAACAGGAAGGCAAAACTCACTGGGGAGGACAATAAAGCGGGAGAAAGAGAAGAGGGCCAACTATGAGAAGAATCAGCTTCAGGAAGGAGCCACGGCCTGGAGTTCCCAAAGCTGAGTGGGGCTGTGAAGGACAGGACCTTCTGGGGGGGTATTCCTGGGGCCGCCAGAGGCTGGAGACCGCTGAAGGCCCCGTCACAGCATCAAGCCGCCTTGTGAGGCAGCATGCGCTGAAAGCGGGGTTTCAGGATTGCTTGAATAAAGGAATCATGTTACTCCTTTAATAATAGTCATATTTCCTTTCCTAATAATAGAGCTACCCAGAGTCATCCTGACTAATGGGCCAGAGACTAATTTAATAAATAAAGGAACAAATACTACATTGCAGAGAGCTGTTAAGCTGCAGAGGAAAGAGTAGGGGAGAGGAGAGGAAAAGTGAGGCGTAGCGATTCGAAATGTGACATTTCAGGGAAAAAGCAAAGGGCCGCGCTTCCCCAGCTGCGCCTGCCTCGTGCGTTTCCCTGGGCTTCCGCTTCCTGCTGGTGCTGCGTGTGTCGGGCGGTTCCAGGTGTCCAAGGCAGCGGAAGCAAAGGGCAGAACACGGAGGGCCGTCAGAGAGCGGGCGATGCTGAGGGGGGCACCGTGGGAGGGGCGGGCGGGCGGGGGCACCAGGCCAAGGCTGAGAGGAGCCAAGGGGGGAAGAGGGTGGGGGAGCTGGTGCCGGGAGGACGCTCTGTGACCGAGTGTGAGTGCCGGTGTGGAAGTCCAGCCCTTTGTTTCTCGGAATCACGTTGGCATTTGTGCGACATCCCCGTTTCCCACCTCCCTTGCTCCCCACCTCTAGCCACCCCTCTCACCTCCCAGATGCTCCCGGGAGGGGCAAGGAGCGCCCCAAGTGCACGTGGAATGCCTGCAGGGGCAGAGGGGGGCTGGCGTCCCCCCAGACCATCCTTGCCTGCTTTAGCAAGAGCAGCTGCGGGCCCCACGGGGGGGGGGGGGCATCCTGTTCTAACAGCAGAAGCCGAGGCAGGCGTGTGGCAGGGTCCATGGCATGGCGCCCAAAGCGCCCCGGCCCCCCAGCCGTCCCACAGGCCCCCAGCGCTCGCAGACGGGGCACATCCAACCGATGGGAGGAATTCTGTAAAATATGCACAAATATTCACACGCATGAGAGGGGGCAATGTAGAAAACCAAACGGGCCGGCAGGCCACCATGGGCAGCGCTGGGGCGCGCACTCGCAGTCGCCGAAACAAGAACCGCAGAAGGGGGAGCGACAGTCTCCGTTCGGAATCGCTGGGGGAAGAAGCACCGGGACCAGGCCGCAGCCAGGCCCCACGGCTCGAGCGCGCCGGCTGGGGGAGGTCCTCTGCCAGCTGCCCGAGTGCTCCGGGGTGCTCGCCGCTCCCTGCCGTGCGAGGGGGCGGGGGTGGCGCCCCTCTCGCCACACAGCTTGCCTTCACGCTCCCAGCAGGGTCCTCCGGGTTGCACGGGCTTGGCACCCATCTTAGAAACACCGGCACAGAGCGAGTCGGAAGGGGCCTGCGGGGCCATCTGGCCTGGCTCCTGGCTCCAGCCGGCTCCGCTCGGGTCTCGCGTGAAGCCGTCCCTAAAGCGGGCCGAGCGGTGACTCCCATCCCAGGCTGCACCAGCCCAGCAGTCCCGTCACGCGAACCACGGGGGCTTGCAGGCGACGGGGCACCATCCTTGGGTGCAGACCCCTTTCCTCCCTCTCATGACTCCTGCGGGGGGGGGGTCTGCCAATGAAATGGACCGGATGGAGAGTTAGCAGCAACTTTGCTTTGTGGGGAATTCGCAGTCGTGAGAAGCCAACTCCGGAATGTGGAAGCTGCCTGAACCTGACCGGGACGGGGTCCAGCGAGCCCAGCGCTGTTGATACTGGCTGGCAGCAGCCAGTCCCCAGGCTTCGGCAGGATCCTGTCCGAACCCTGTGTGGACGTGTGTGCGGGGAACACGCACAGCAGGAGCATTGCGCTGGAGGTGGTGCTGGCTCTCGCAGGCTTAGACGGTCTTGGGAAAAGATCCGGGGATGGGGGGCTGCTAAGGGGAAGCTGGAGGGGGAGTCACCACCCTCACGTTCCTCTAGGAAGCATCTTCCTGGCCTCTGGATTGCGCCTTCATCAAGGGCTGCGCACCCGGACAGTTGGATGCAAGCTCCCACATGAGTTTTTCTCTCCAGTTTCACTTCTGTTCACATTCATATTTTTTAAACTCCTTTGTTTTTTCTGCACTGTTTACAAATAAACATGTGGACTTCGTTAAGTTCTTAATTTCTGGCCAGTTCCAGTAGGCATCCTGCTTCCACTCTGGAGGGGCCAGGGGCTCGCGGGGTTGCTTGCCTGCCAGGGAGCTGCTAAAAGTGAGGACCCTGCCAGCCTTGGCACATGGCACGCAAGACCCCCTAGTCTGGGTGAACCAATCACCCCTTTCCTATTTTCTCCCATGTCCAATTTCGTGAATTTGGTGCGTTATATGCAAATAGGGACCAAATGAAATTCCTGCCCATCCCAAAGATTCCTCTGCAGCTGTGTAAGACAGAGTGAGGAATCTGGGTGCTTTGCCCCCCCAGGAAGAAGCTGTGGGGGGGGGACCGGACATGTGGAGGAAAGGCAACGGATGTAACCTGCTTGAGTGATCTGCCCAAGGCACACGAGCCCCACCCCGGGATCAGCTGCCTGCCTGGGGTGGGCTCTCTCTCTGCTGGGGTGGCAATGGCTGTCTTTGACCCCAAAGGTTCGCGAGGGTCTGATGGCAGCCCATCCCACCTGTCCCCATTGCAAGGTGGACCTCCGACCACGCTGGCCCCAGCCGAAGAGATCTGGGTGCTCCGCAAGCCCTATGCAGGTATGAAGGGGGTGGGAGGGCCGCCCCTTGGCCAGTTGCCCCGGGCCTGGGTTGGGCGCACACCCGGCTCGGGCCAGGCGCCCTCGCCTGCAGGTCTCCCCGGCCTGCCAGGGTGGGTTGCTGCCCCCCACATGCACTTTCCCATCTCAGCTTGGTGCTGGCGGTGGGGAGCAGGCTGGGCGGCGGGGTGGGGAGACGTGCCCGGTGTCTGCTCCCGCCTGGGCTTCTTCGGGCAGTCGTTGTGGGATGCGGCGCCAGGGGCCCTGTCCCCGAGGGTGGCCTTAGAGGCAGGTGGACATTTGGCCTGCAGCTCCCATTATCCTTCACCGCTGGGAATGCTGGCTGGGGCTGATGGGCGCTGTGGGCTGAGGCAGCCAGGGGGCTGCAAGCGTTTTGCCCAGCTTCGCGCATTCTTGGCTGCCTGCCTTGCCTCTCACCTGCCCTTCCTCCCCTCTAAATCGGCAGGCGGCGACCGCAGCAGCGTGGGGAGCGCGGGCAGTGTGGCCAGTGGCCGGAGCTCAGGCAGTGGCCAAAGCACCGGGAGCGGAGGCCACGCAGCCCTCCATCCAGGCTCTGAAGGCGTCAAGGTGAGCGGGACCACCTGCCGCCCGGGGCGTGTGCCTCCAAGCGCACTGGGAATGCGGTCGTCACGGCCGGCAACTGGGAAAGCGCTCCCCAAACCTTACAGGCTGGTTTGAGCCCCTGCACCGGAAACCACAGCGGGCCCCGCCGTGGGGCTGCCTGCAGCAGGCTTGTCGCATGCCCATCTTCAGGAGGGGGGGCAGGGGAGCCGGAGACCCCCCCCACCCAGCCCCTCACCAGACGGCTTTCTGCTTCCTCCCGGAAGCTTCCCAGGCCACGTGTGCCAACGGGCATGCCGCACACGCCCACTCCCCGCCACCCCCGGGCATGCCGCTGCACCGGTGTCCCCACGCCTCGGGGGGCCGGCGCGACCTCCGCCCCTCCCGAAGGCTCCCCGTGCCTTCCTCCCCCCTTCCTGACTGACGGCTGTTTCTCCACTTCCCTCCCCCACAACCATGCTCAGTTGCTGGCAACTGTCCTCTCCCAGAAGGCATCTGTGCACGAATCCGCTGTGGGCGACGGGCCTGCCAAAGCCGTGGAGACGCCTGCAGGTGCGTGGAGCGCCCCGCGGCAGAGCGCGTCCCCTGTCCCCAGCGGAGCTTTCCTGGCCGCCATCGGCCGCGGCCTCCCCTGCTCAGCCAGCCCTCCGAGCCGCCATGGCCCTCCCTCTCTGCTGCTGCCATGCCTTCGCTTGCTTCGGTTAGTGGGGAGACGGTGGGATGCCGGGGGAGGGCGCCCCATCTGCCTGCTTGGCCGCCCGCCACCCTCTGCCGGGCGCCCGCCTGGCCCGCGGGGGGCTGCTCCGGTCCTCCCTGGTGGCTGGCCGAGCGCCCGCCCCCCTCCCCACCTTGGAGTGTGAGCCCCGCACGGCGCGGCCTTCCTATGACGCTTGTTTGGAGGGCTCTGCAGCATGCCCGGGAGGACCCTCTGCGCCCAGGGGCTGCAGCCCCCCCCCAGCGTCCCCTCCCCCTCTCGAGGGTGCTGTAGGAGCCGTGTGGCGCAGAGGAAGCCGGCAGGTGGCACTCCTCCCCAGGTGCCCAGAGGAGCGTGCCCAGATGACGGGCTTGGGGTCAGCCTGGGGGGTGCTGCGGGTGGGAGGAGGGGGGAGTGTAAGGAGGCTCCCACCATCGGCCTCTGGGAAGGGGCCTGCTGGCATCCTGCGTAGGGTTCGGAGAGGCTCCAAGCTGTTCGTTTATCTGCAGGAGTTTCCCTGCTTCTGGTGCTTCCAAGGATTCAGCTTCTGAAATGGATTCCGCTTTTTTAGCTAGCCCAGCCAGACGCTGCAGAGGAAACCAGCCCTCCGTCACTCGCTTCCCAAGCCAAGCCGTGCCTGGGCCCTGGGGGCTTTGCAGGCTGGCTGGGTGAGAGGGTGTGAGAGCCCCAAGGTCACCTTGGCTGCCTTCTTGCTCTCCCTGCCTGGCCCTGCGGCAGCAGCTGCCCATGGGGGATTCTGCGCCTCTGGGGGGTTTGCTTAGGAACGCCAGCCTTTTCCTGCCACCCTCACATCTCTGGGTGTCTTTTCCTGTTCCCAGCAGAATGGCCAGCTGGACACCATCCTGGCTGCTGGCCCCAGTGGGGTGCAAACGCCCACCCTGCCCTGCCCTGCCCTGCCCTGCCCGGCCGCAGAGCTTGCCCAGCCCTGTATGCTGAGCCCTGTCATTTCGCGAGGGTAACATGCCAGATAAGGAAACGGTGGCTGCGGGCCCCGTAGCTCCGCGTCGTGCCTGCATCCTCCAGGAGCAGTGTGGGAGGATGCTGGTGAGGAGCCTGGCCTTGGGGCAGTCGGGGGTGTGGCCCCGCACCCCCGTTTGCTGCTGACGGGGCTTGACAGCTGGACAAACGTCTGCATTGCTGAGCGAGCGAGCGAGCGAGCTTTCTGCCGTGCTAACGGCTCCCGCTGTCTGCGTTGTGCCAGGTTCCTCGAGGACACCGAGTCTGGGCAGTGGCACGCCGTACCCGAGTCAGCCCTCTGGTGAGCAGCCGCCCAAGAAGGTGGAGCCCTCGTCGGAGGGGAAGGCAAGTCAGGGAAGCTCGGCCTGGAGAGGGTGATGGAAAAGCGCTGCTGTGGCCGGCTAGGGGGCCACGCCATTCCTGCCTTCTGGGGAGGGCCAAGCCAAGCTCTCCCAGCAGCGGAGTGCGGTGGGGGTTACTCTTTTAAGCCAGGGGTGAGCCGATGCCCTACTTCTGCATTTTGCTCCGACTTCTTTCACCACCAGCTGGAGCCAAGGGCAAAACGGAGGCTTGGGGAGGCAGGAGTAAGATGAAGGACTTGTTTCCAGCATTGGAACTGAGCGCAGACTGCACTGGAAAACAGACAGTCAAACGCCATTTTCCTCATTTCAGCAGCCAAATGTAAAGGGTGGGCAGAGCGCGCCTGTTTGCTGCAGGGGTTAAAGACAGACATTCTTGCAGATCGCCTGTGAGCCGATCCCTACCTCCCGCCTGCCCCTTCCCCGAGCTGCTGCACATTTACTTTCGGGGCCACTGCCTTCCCCTTGCAGCTCACGGGGGCTGCACCCTCGCATCGTCCAGCGCAGGAGTCTCGCCAGGAGAGAGCGAGCCGCCCACACGCCCTGGGCATGATGCATTATCCAGCTGCATGCATTTCAATGGCAGGTCCTCCTCAGAAGAGAAAGGCTTGGGAGGGAGAGCTGGCCTCACCGCGCCTCTCCTCTCCTCTCCTCTCCTCTCCTCTCCTCTCCTCTCCTCTCCTCTCCTCTCCTCAGAGCTCAGAGGCCGTCTACCAGTGGCTTTGCAAGTTCCAGCTGCAGCTTTATGCCTCCAACTTCATCAATGCTGGGTACGATATCCCCACCATCAGCCGGATGACGCCCGAGGTGAGGGCTGCCAGGGAGGAGGCAAAGCTGGGCCAATGGTCCCGTGCGTGGGTTCCAGGACCCCTAATTGCTTGCTGAACGTGATGGGAGTTTGCAATGAGTAAGAGGTACCCCTGCAGGCCCATGAGCCCCATTCCCCCCAGTCAGCCTCTGGACCCTGAGGTGTGCCCAGCCCAGCACTGTTCTGTGCAAATCCACAAGGGTTTGCCGGTCATGCGCTAGGCGGGATGAGCGGCACCGTACGTTCTCTTGGGGACATGGGCAGTGTGCCTGCTCAGCCACTGGGAACCGTGGAGCACCTTCTGCCCTTCAAGGGGGCGCTGGGGGTCAGGTGGCCCCTCCTGGGATGGAGGGGCCTGCAGAGCTTTGTGGGCAACACAGAATGAGCTGGAGCCATGCTGGGAGGCAGAAGGGGGCGTTTCTGAGGCACGTGTCTCCTCTTGGCCAGGAGAGCCCCCCCCCCCCCCGCCAACTTCTGGCCCGCAAAAGTACCAGTGCACCAACGGGGCAGGACTGGCGGGCACTGCCGCCACCTCTCATGTTCACGGGACTTATTAGGGGAGTTTAGGCCGTTCTCTGCAGCACATGCTCCCAGAATGGTTTGCTTTGACTTATTGCTGTAGGAGCGCACGGATCTTTCCCTCCCTGCTCAGGCTCCTCCAAGTCACCCTTCAACTCATACCCTAGTGGAAGGTCACATGCTGTGTTTCTGGGCATAAAAAATAAATTGCACTGCCATGCACAAGCTGACGAGCTCCAACGGGGTTAGAGCCAAAGTGTGGGAAGCGCGAGGCTGCCGCGAGAATGCGCCAGGGAGCCCGGCGTTCTGCAGACGCTCCCTGTGTGTTTTAGCAAATACTGCCCCACCCCAGCCCCCAAGGCCAAACCCAGTCCGGGCTGAGCGTGCGACGCAGCCTCGGCATGAACGGGCAGGGAGAGACGGGGCGGCAGCCCACAAGGGAGCGCGGCTGCCGGGACCCTGGAAGGAGCCAGCCTGTCAGTCGGCAGGCTGCTGCCCGCCCTCCCCAGTGCGAGGTAACGAGGCCGTGCCGACGTGAGCCGCACACCGAGGCAGGCGCTCCAGCCAGCTGGCTCGCGGGCTGCGAACTCGCCAGTGCAGGTGCCCCTGCGGTTGCCTCTGGGCCGTGGCCGTTTGCCGCTTACACGGAGCCGAGCAGACATGGATGTCCCATTTGCTGCAGGACCTGACAGCCATCGGGGTTACCAAGCCAGGACACAGGAAGAAGATTGCATCAGAGATCAATAACCTCAACATTTCTGAGTGGCTCCCGGAGTATAAGCCGGTAAGTCATCCCTCCTTCCCACGCCCGGGACTTCTTGACATCAGCACCTTGGGGAGGCCTGGCTGTAGGCCTAGCGTGTGGCCACCCTGTGCTTCGGTGCACTCCTCTCTTGCTCACACCGCTGCTGAGGCATGGCTCCCCAGGCAAGTTAAAATGGTGGCTTTGCAGAGCACGGAGCACGGCAAGCACACTGTCCCAGCGCCTCTCTTGCAAGGATGAGTCCACAAAGTGTGCCTGTCCGAAGGCATTTTCTCTCAGCAGCCCCCCTCCTCCAGTGCAAGATTGCTTAAAAGCTTTCTTTTACTGCATAACGATCACAACAAAGCAGCATCCCTGCATGATTCTGTTGAACATAGTAGGCCAAGAGGAGGCAGGAGGTCTGGACTCTTGACCGTTCCATGACGCTTTCCCATTCTTTTTTGATGGTGAAATATTACAATCTTGCTGTTAAAAATAATGAGGAAATTAACTCAAAACCAGCCACTGCCATTAAGAGGCAATTGAGGGAGGCTGCTCATTAGCAAGCTTGAAAACAGCAGAAGAGCTGGAAGAACTGTGCCAGGAAGGCTCGCTCACACTTTGCCAGCGCACAGGCTGCGTTTGCAGGTGCTCTGAGAAAGGATGGGGGCCCACACAAAGGTCCCCGAAGACCCTGTGCAGTCAGGGCTCTGCATCAGAAGAGCCTCCTTTGGCAAGGGAGGCAGTTCCAGGTCACGCTGTTTGTGTGGAAGCAGCCTGTGGGGGAGGAGGCGTCACTAGTCTGACCCGCACGGGCAGCCGTGGCTGCTGCAGGGCAGGGTGCGATGGGACGTGTGCCTCACCAAGAAACCTTCACCTGCCCTCTCGCCCGTCCAGGCCAACCTGGCTCTCTGGCTCTCCATGATCGGACTGGCGCAGTATTACAAGGTCCTGGTGGAAAATGGCTACGAGAACATTGACTTCATCACCGACATAACCTGGGAAGACCTGCAGGAGATCGGCATCACCAAGCTGGGTGAGGGGAGGCAACGGCCCGGCGGCCACGGTGCCAGCGGATGTGTGTGTGTGCGTGCTCAGGAGGCGGGCGGGCGGAGGGTGCTCTTCCAACTGGATGGAGGCTTGGGGCAGGGAAGCTCTGTCCGTGCCTTGCGTCCCGCCACCTGCCGGCTTTGGCTGGAGCATGGGCTGGGAGGAAGCAGCACGTGTGGCGTGCCATGCGGGATGCTCGCACCGGGGGCCTGGTCTGCACACGCCAGGGGGTCTGACCGAAGGCGTGATCCCGCTGCCCCAGCTATAAAAAGCACACAGCCTTTGCACACTAACAGGAAGCCTCCTGCTGCACCTCGTCCAGAAGCTTGCATTTTGGGGGGGAAAGGGAGAATGAAAACGGCTCCGTTTGGAAAGAGTTGGCCCCCTGGCCTGGCTGAGCATTTGTTCACCAGAATACTGGGGTGCGGGGTGGGCACCCATGTCAAGGCATCTTGAGATCGGTGGCAGAGGCCCTTCTCCGGGAACCCTCCGTGAAAGATATTAGGAGGGCGAGTACCCGGAGGACGGCCTTCTCTGTGGCGGCACCCAATCTATGGAATGTGCTCCCCAGAGAGGTCCGCCTGGTGCCATTATTTGTTTTTCGGCGCCAGGCCAAGACCTTTTTATTTGAACGTTATTTTAATTGTTAATTTATTTATTGTTTTTATATTTATGCCAGGATGTTTCCAGATTTTTAATGTATTTGTATAGCTATTTATTTGTATTGGAAGCCGCCCCGAGGCTTTTGCAAATGGGGCGGCATATAAGTGTTCCAAATAAATAAATAAAAACGAGGCAATCACACTAGCTGAAGCCAAATAAGGCGTGGGAAGGCTGGAAGCTGCCTCACTGTGAGCCAGCCCTGGTCGCACTAGCCCCGTGTTTTCCCAGACGTCACGGGAGGCCAAGCTGTCACCCTCTTGAGAACCATAGCAGAGTGGGGAGGGGCCAGGAAGGCCGCCGAGTCCAACCCCCGCTGCTGGGCAGCACCACGTCACACATCGCGCCGCGGCCCCTATCCTGTCCAGAGAAAGGGGCTCGCCGGGGGAGAAGGGCCGTGAGCGCCTGCCCAAGGGAGCACGGCCAGCTCGGAACGGCGTCTTGCCAGGCTGCAGTCGTGGCGTAGGCCGGGAGAGATGCTATTCCCGGGATCCAAGGGATGCTCAACATTTTCCTTAGGCCGAATTCATGGCACGTGAGAGAAAATCATCGATGCTTTATTTTTAACTCTCGTGATCTGAGGGGCAGCCTTACGCTTTTCCGCAGCCGCCCTGGCTTTTTGCAAGCAGGCCGTCTACCCTTTATTCTTCCCTCAGGCCACCAGAAGAAGCTGATGCTTGCCGTGAAGAAGTTGGCCGAGATCCAGAAGGCCGAGTACGTCAAGTACGAGTCCGGGACGCTGAAGAAGAAGGGGGCGCCCCCATTGCAGGACACGATGGCCATCGAGCCGCCCCCACAGGAGACCGCCGAGTGCCAGTCGCCCAAGATGAGCACGTTTCAGGACAGCGAGCTGAGCAACGAGCTGCAGGCGGCGATGACGGGCACCAGCGAGGAGGGGGCCGAGAGGCAGGCCAACCACGTGGGGCCCTTCCGCGAAGTGGTGTCCTACCGGCACCCCTCCCGCCTCGCCCATGAGAACAGTCTGGGCGGGAGAGCCAAGCACATGAGCAGCTCCCAGGAGCTGCTGGGAGAGGGCCCCAAGGCGGCCAGCACCGCCGCCGTGTCCAAGAGCCAGGAGTACCTGGCCGAGGAGGGAAAGGACGGCGCGGCCACGCTGCCCAAAGAGGTCCGGAGTCTCCGGCACGGCCACAGTGTCAAGCGAGCCAGTGTGCCTCCGGTGCCTGGCAAGCCCCGGCAATCCTTTCCCCCATCTGCGGGCCGCTACACCCCGCCGCAGACACCGACCAAGCCCCGGCCATCCTCGCCGCAGACACTTGGCGTGCCGCACACCACAGCCAAGGTGAAGCCCACACCGCAGCTGCTGCCCCAGTCGGACCGCCCCATGTCTCCCCGCTCGCTGCCGCAGTCCCCAACCCACCGCGGCTTTGCCTACGTCGTGCCACAGCCGGCGGAGGGCGACACACACGTGGCCGGCCCCTTGGCGCAGGCCACCCCGGCACCGCCCGTCTCCGTGCCGGTGCTGTGCCTGCCGCCTCAGGCTGCCGAGGGCGAGGAGGAGGGTGGCCGGCCAAAGAAGAGGGCCCACAGTCTGAACCGCTACGCCGTGTCCGACAGCGAGCAGGAGCGGGACGAGCTGCTGGTGCCCGACGCCGGTCCTTACGCCACGGTGCAGCGGCGCGTGGGACGCAGCCACTCCGTGCGGGCACAGTCAGGTGGCGACAAGAACGTCAACCGCAGCCAGTCCTTCGCCGTGCGGCCCAAGAAGAAGGGTCCGCCGCCCCCCCCACCGAAGCGCTCCAGCTCAGCCATTTCCAGCACCAATCTGACCGACGACTTTTCCAAGGAGGGGGAGGAGGGGCAGGAGCCTTCCCAGGAGGAGCTGCAGAGACGAGGCAGCGACTTCGGCGGCACGGTGGACACGGGCAGCGCGGGCAGCGTCAAGAGCATTGCCGCCATGCTGGAAATGTCATCGATTGGGGGAGGGGCCCGGGCTTTGGCCTTGCAAAAGCCACCTGGAGCGGGGAAGGGTCCCGACGGGTACCACCTGCCACCAGGCATTGCCCTGCACCCAGTCAGTCCGGAGCCCTCCCGTGTTGCGACCGCTCTGGCCGCTGTCAAGCACAAAGACGCAATCGGGCCCGACGGCGAGCTGGTGAACCGCAGGCGCACCATCAGCGGCCCTGTGACCGGGCTGGTTGCCGCAGCTCGCCTGGAGCGCTCGGAGAGCATCAAGTCTGACACGTCGAAAAATGGCAGCCCCGTGGAGCGGCTGCGGACAGAGCCCAGTGGCGGGTCCCCACTGAACAGCTCTGGCGAGAACATTCCCTTCGCCGAGGAGGGAAGCCTGACGATCAAGCAGCGCCCCCGGCAGATGAGCACCGTCAAGGCCGACGCGGGGGAGGCCGCGGTGCTGGCCCCCCGGCACACCGGCCTTTCCAAGGTGGAGGCCAGCGCCACGCTCAAGAGGAGGATCCGGGCCAAGCAGAGCCAGCAGGACAGCATCAAGTTCCTCCTCACCGAGTCCGACACGGTGAAGAGGCGGCCGAAGTCAAAGGATAAGGAACAGGAGCCAGCGCCGCTGTCTGTCTACCAGAACGGCACGGCCACGGTCAAGCGCCGGCCCGCCCTGGAGACGGGTGGCGTGGAGACTGCGTCGCCAGCAGACCTGCCGGAAAGGGGCGAGCTCGTGCCGACCCAGCTCCCTTTGGAAGGAGAACCCAGGAAGCCCGTGAAGCCCCCCGTTTCGCCCAAGCCTGTCCTGCCACAGAAGGTTTCTGGTCCTCCCACACCCACCTCCAAAAGGGCCCCCATCCCCGGTCCTGGCAGTCCAGGTAAGTGGTGTCCTGCTAGGAAAACTCTTCCAGGGCTTGGTGCAGGGCTGCCCACACCCTGGGCCTGGCAGTCCCCAAGCCCCCGTGTTCTTGGCCCATTCTGCATGCCCTGCTTGTCCTCGTGTGATCGCCCTGCTTCCCGCAGCGGCTCACGCTGCCACGGGGCTTGTGCAGCCATCGCAGCGTGCACGGCCGCCCCAAGCTCAGCGAGAGCGCTATGGGGAGGCAGTGCTGCACGAGCCCTCCGGGCTTAGGAACTCTGCCTTTGCTGTGTGTGGAGCCCAGAGCCCTTCCCCGCGGCTGCCTGTCCCTGGCCTAAGACCTGACGTCAGAGATGCTTCGCGGCAGCAGTGCCACCCCGAGAGGCCCAGGGCGTGATGCATTCTTCTCCTTTGCAGAAGTGAAGCGTGTCCATGGGACCCCGCCTCTGGTCTCCCCGAAGCCCACGCCACCCCCAACCGCCCCAAAGCCGAAGGTCCACGCTGCGCTCCAGTCAGTGAGTGCCGGTTCGACGCCCACCCCGTCGCCAGCCAAGCAGCTGGCGCCCACCATCAAGCCTTCCAGCACGCCCCCTTCGCTCTGTTCCAGCCCAGCCAAGCCCCTGTCTCCGGGGGGAGCACCTCCACAGGCGGTGCCTGTCAAGCCCCCGCGCTCCTCCATGGCCGGGCCTTCAGTGGAGAACGTCAGCACAGAGAGCGTCCACCAGAAGCTGGAGGAGACCAGCGCCTCCCTCGCCGCTGCTCTGCAAGCCGTAGAGGAGAAGATCAAGCAGGAGGATGGGCAAGCGGCAGAGTAAGGGCCTTCCTGGGCTGGGAAAGAGTGCTGGGCGGGGTGGGGCGGGCCGTGCAGTCTCCTGCACAGCAAGGGCGCCGTCCCAGACTCTGCAGGGAGCGTCAGCACCGAGGTGCAGTGCCAGCTGCGTGCAGGGCGTCCTGTAGAGGAGTCCAGAAAGAAAGCCCACGGGAGACAGCCAAGGAGGGGGAGCAAAATGGGGGGCAGGGGGCATGTGAAGTTTGAGCGTGCTTGTGCTCTGTGAAAGCTGGGGCATGGGAACTGTGCCAGAAAATCCCAGGGAGGGAGGGAGGGCCCATGCAGGGTTAACCCCCTGGTGTTTCCCTCAGCTCTGCTGCAGAATCCAAGAGCACAGTCAGCATCCTGGATGACATTGGGAGCATGTTTGACGATCTCGCTGACCAACTGGACGCCATGCTGGAATGACAGCTGGAGAAGAATCCCGGCCAACCTCAGGATCTGCCGTGGGCACAAGGGCACAATCACCTCCACGAAGACCTCCCTGTTCCTCTTCCCCACCATCTTTTGAGGTTTGCACAAAGAACTTAAGATTACCTCAGGATTGTGCTGAAACAAACTGAGATGCTTAGGAAAGGCTTTTCTTGGAACTAGCTTTGCGGAGGAAAAAAAGAGGAATCCCTCTTGTGTGTTTTTTTCCTAGCTACACCTCTGTTGACCTTGGGGAATACAAGGGGACCACAGCTTTCCTTCCGCAAATGAAGCAAAGGGCCAGTGTGCCTGTTATGGCACATCTGTGAGATGAAAGCGATCCTCAGACTTTCTCCAGCACAGCTTTCCAGGCAAATCTGCTCAGATTTAGTCCAACTTACATCTTTTCTTTCTTTAATTGGCAAGTGTTTCCTGCCCCCTCTCTCAGATCAATTGCCAGTTGTTCTAGTCCCAATATGTTATCAGCAATATGTGGCACAATAAGTATTAGTCTTCTCTGGTTCTTCACATTTTCTGTTTGGTTCGGAATTGCGTGGAACTCTTGCCTTCTGTGTTGGTAATGTTCCCTGGCAGAACGCTGCCGTTCTCCCACGTGCTGCCCGCTCAGTTTCTGTGCCTGTCCGCCGTCGCTGGGAAGCCCTGGAGGAGGCAGTGCAGGGGACGCCCGAGGGAAGCCGTCAGGCTGGCTGCATGCTGCGTTTTTTGTCCCGAAGGTGTTCGTCTTCTGGTGATGATGAAGCCGTGACTGTGAGGCGTTTCGTCCTGTTAACGAGTCCCATTGGAGACCATGCGCTCCTTTTTTCTGTTTGCTTGCCTTGGAAAGCACCATTTGCGGCAAGAGCCGTGCAAAAGCTTTGGTACGTTTGCATGATTGATACAGTGTTGAAATGTGAAAAGAACAAAGGGAAAATAGAAGCATCCTGGCCGAAACCCCCCTGTAAATACCCCATGGTGGCTTGTACAGCTGCCACAAAATATTTACTCCCAGTTACTTAAAAAATATACCCCTTGGTAAAGGACAGTTCGAGCATGAGGGACTTGCGTTGCACTTTCTCTTTGCTTCAAGGCGCTTGCTTCCAAAGAGTTTGTCAATGATTGGACAATTTAACTGTTCTTGCCTACCACTGCAGCGATTGTTCCCAGAAGATCGGGAGCGGGCAGAACTAAGTAGGCAACGGACGGATGCGGGCAATACGTGCGATAATGCCACGGAGCCTCGCATGGTGAAGTAGCCCTCTGTTGGGTAAGGCCCAATGGTGTCCCCGTGCATTGGCGGGAGCGCCCACTGCGGGGGGCTCCCATTCTCGGTATCCCCGCTGTTCCGAACATGCCCGGTTGCATCCCGGCGGTCGGAGCTGGCTTTGCCAGGCAGAGCGAGTTTCAACAGAGTGTGGATGCGGCTTGAGCCTTGGACTCCCGACTGCCGTCTCAGCTGCAATTCTGGCCCGACTGCCTCTCGGTCTCTTGGGTTTTTGCAGGGTCATCTACCAGCGATTGTTAGGAAAGGACGAGTGGAAAGGTGGGACCTGCTCAGCCACCTCCACTGGGGGCTGCAGCGCTATACTCCCAAACTCCCAGCAGAGTCAAGGTTTTTGTGCAACTGTGCAAAGTGCATCAGAGATTATGCATCCCAGGTCGAGGGGCCATCGGCCTGCAGTATTCTGAACCCACGTGAGAGCTTTTGCTTTTCGTGGAGCGAAGTAATGCAGCAATGGGGCGACAGCATTCTTGGTAGTGCTGCCACCGGGCCTCGCTCAGTCTTCCGCTGGCTTCTGGCACTTGCGAGGCCTTGCTGTGGCCTTCGGGGGAAGGCTGGTTCCCCGGAGGGAGCATGCAGAAGGGCTGCGGCATGGGACGACTGTCCTCGGACCGTCTCCCGGTTGCCTTAAAGTACAGATATTTAAACACGACTAGTGGTAATGGGAGATGCCCCTGGGTGCCAAGGCGTGGGGGTCAAGCAGAGCTGCTTGCTCGAGGCTGAACTGGGACCTGACACAGGCGGCCTCCTGAGCTGCCTCTTCAGGGCCTGCACCATTCTTAAACAAGCACAATCAGGGAGTCCCCCACTGTGGATTGCCCACTTCCCTCTCGTTCTGTGTTCCTCCTCCTCAAGCTCCAGCCACTCTGATCTGCTTTCCTGCGGCATTTCTAGGGAGTGTCAAATCGTCCCTGCAAGAATACCCCGTGTGTTAATCTTGACGGTGAAATAAAGCATTTTGCCAGGAGAGGGTGACCTCACTGGAAGCAGAGGTCACGGAAGCATGTGCTGGAGCACTGACCTTGGCTTGTCCTGTGCAGATCACCAAACGCCTGCGTGCGTATCTTCCGTCAGTGGCCTTGCATAAAACCCAGTTTTACGGTCCTCTTGGGCTCAGAGCTGGTGCTGGGCATTCTTAAACCTTTGGTGGTTATCTAAAAGGGGGTTACTTGTTTGCTGTGATGATCAGTCCTTAAACTCCTCAATCCAAGGAAATTTCAGACACACTCGGAAGGAACTCCTGACTGTAACCGAGTAGTTTTGACAAGCAGGATGCAATTTCCAATACCTAGCCTCAGCCTGTTGCATTTTACCCTGTTCTTGCTGGGCACTCATCACAGTGGGCTTCTGCCTCCTCACTCGCTGCAGTTGTCAGTCAGTCACCTCTCCTTCCTCTGCATCCGCCAGCGCACCAGCTCCACCGAAAGGGAGTCCCGTGATCCCTGGGGCCACACCTCTGGGGTCACTCCCCGCCTTTCTTTAACGTTGCTGCTCCGTTTTATACAGGGCTTATCCTCTGCTGTGGTGCTGAGATTTAGCTCATCTGGCCCAATAAGCGCTGGGGCCAATGATAAAAGGCCCAGTCTGCTCTCCCCGCTCATTGCCACCAGCCCTCCTCCCGCTGCGGCAGGCTACCTTTCTCTAAACCCCACTACCTAGCGTGACGTCTTCCCCTTGGTCGACAGCACTGCAGGCAGCAGCGCTCACCTGGAGGGAGGGAGGGAGGGAGGGAGGGGCGCTACCATTTCTCTCAGGATCTCAGCTGCCACGTCCCTCACACTTCCTCTGCACAAAGGAACGTCTGGTGGCCGCAGGGCCTTTCCTTGGGAAATGGTGCTTGCCTGGTTCTTCAGGCCATGCCGTGAAAGACAATTACTGTCTGTGAAACGAGGTGAGCTGGCATGCCTCTCCCAACTCAAGGCCATGGTCACACTTGATATCCCACCACAACCTCCAACATGGGACATACTTTAATTTTTTGTCAGCTGTATGTCAAGTTGCTTTCTTCTGTTCTCTCCCTGCATCCTTTCCATTTAAGAAAAATCCAGAACACAAAAGAAAAGGAAAAATGGTTCGGGGTAGAATGGCCCCATGGATCTCAACTTGCCCAGTGCTCAGGAGAGCCTCTTCTCATTGTCTGCCATAACTACATTTCTGAGTGAGAGCATCACGCTCCTCTGACCGCCCCATTTCGATGCTGCACCTTACATCCAGTAGTTAGTGCCGGGCTGAAGGCTGAAGCTGAGTTAAGTTGTTGATTATTGCATTGGTAGAGGTCTCCTGTTGAAACAGCCGTGTTAGTGAATGTTACTATGTGAGAAAACAAACACATCTCTTTTGGAGAGTGATGAAAAGGAAAAGAAAATAAGCTATATACAGAAGTATTAATTTAATGGAAAGAAATTATTTAAGATGGTTTTCCCCCAGAGATAATTAACCCAGAAGGACTTTAATATATATTAAAGAGATTTTAAAATATTATCAATTGTATATGAAGCAATTTTAAGAGATAAAATGAAAAGAACTGGCGTGTCGCTTGTCTATTAGACTCGTATTAAGCCGTGTGTCTTGTGGTGAGATCATTTAAAGAGTAGCACAATGTTTAAAAAAGGTACCGTTTCTCTTCTTTTCAAAGTGTGCAAAAACACGTTTCAGTTACATGGACATTTTGGTTTGGCATTTTGTTTTTGCAGTTTTAATGAAAAATCAAAGGATGTGCCTTGTTTTATGAATTTTTGTTCAATCTCATATCCAACAAGTGTGTGTTTTCTGTAGTGTGTTTTCTTTTTAAAGTCAGTGTGCGTGTGCGTGCACCCATGTATCTGTATGTGTGTGTGCGTGTTTAATGCATGTGTGTGGAAGTAGATGCGCAGCTGAACAGATGCACACCTGGGAGCCAGTCCCGTTTAAACACGGCTTTTAAGTCTGGAGTGCAACCCCGCCTGGTTCCTTGCGTGGCGGTTTACAAAACCCGGGCGCTGCCGAGTGACTGGGGGCATCGTTTCGTTTGAGTAGATAGGTCTGTCTTTGCTAACTCCAAAATGTGTCTGGCACAACTTTGACATTTCTTAATTAAAAAACAGACAACATGAAGGTATGTGTTGTAAAGAGAAACAAAATGTATCTTAGAAATATTCCAAGATTCTAATGCTGGATATTATACATATTATATATATATTATATATTTTTATTATTAAGTTATGGAAATTGTATGGTATTCCCCTTCTGTCAGAGCTATGCATCCCGCTGCCAACCTCCTTTTCTTGCTTTGTGCATCCCACCTGCAGTGTTACTATTTGATGGCTTTTGTGGTGCTGTAAAGATTTCTGCTCTTACCTTAAAACAAAGTGTCTGGCTACAAACAGTTAAAGAGAGAGAAGCCCTTGCTTGCCACTACCACACGTGCATGGCGTCGACTGTGAGAGAACACTCTCTACTACGGCGGTCCGAAAAAGGCCCCCCCCTCAGAGGCAGTCCCGCGAGGCCCAGCTCGCTGGTGCACGGCTGCCGCGGCCCCGAGGGACGGGCTCGTGACGCAAGCCGCTGAGCAGGCGGGCGGCGCTGCTGACGCGCTCACGGCCGCCGGCGCTTAACGAATGTCCGAGCCATCTGGCTTGCTGAACTCTTGCTCGGGCCGCCTCCGAATAACGTTCCCGATGTGCTCCCGGAAATCCCTGCACTGGGCTGGCCGCGAGTCACGTGCATGTTTCCACACAACAAGCGGCAAATGTTTCGCTACAGCCATAGGGCCAACCTCTTCCACACAGAAGTCAACACAACCCTTTTCGGAGAGAGCACAGAATGCTCCTGGCCGCATTTACTGAGCATGGCGGCACCTCCAGCAGTTAAAAAAAGGTGTCCCCTACCGGCACATCCCTGCTGGATTTCTTCTGTAGTGCCATCTTTTGGCAACCTGGGGGAGCAGGCAGTTTTTCTGTCCGAACAGCAACAGGACTGTCAAGGCCTTCCTCACTGTGCCAGTCTATACTCCAAACATGGATCTCACTCATTTTAACAGTACTTGTGACACTGGCTTTCTGAAGTCGGAGATTATTTTGTCCCGTTTTTAAACAAGAACTAAAGAATCTGCATTCCCGCTCTAGCAAAATGCTTCCAGGACGGAGAAGCCTATTTGTAGGTACCTGTCATTCTCCATTAGGCAAGTACAGTAAGAGGAGAACTGAATCCGGAGGCTCCACTTTAGTGCTCTCGCTTGCACTCCCTCTTTCCTCGACTATCACTGAATTGTACGTATCCCTGGGCAGGGAAGCCCTTTTCCTTGCGGCAGCCAACAGTATAAAAGCTGAATACAACAAGCACCTTGAAAGAAATCATTCTGCATCTGCTGCCGTTTCTCTACCACCCTCACGTAATAAAGCAGGGAGACAGTTCACTCGGTCCGCAGTTTAGCCACGGTACGAAAATGTTCCTTGGAGGCAAGCAGCTTGTTAAATTCACTGTCTCAGGGCAGAGAGTTTGCATTCACCTAAATGGATTCATAAACCTGAGCAGACACTGCTACAGATTCATATACCTGGCATCACACTTGGAGTGTAGGACAGGCCAAAAGCTGAGAGACTTGCTAAATGTTCTAGTTCTGCCAAAAAGTCATGCTTGCCTAAAACAATGGTCCATTTTTATTGTCAAGAAAGAAATAATCCAAATCTATATCACAATCTTAAAAACAGTAGAAAATGTCAGTAAAAACCCAACAGCGGGCTCTCCCTGTCTGACTGTGGAGGCCGTGAGGACGTGATGCTGTGCACAGGTGGCCCTGTGGTACCAGAAGCAAGGGGCGGGGCCGGTGACATAACAATCGTACCTGGTTACACGAGAGGAAAACGGTTTTTATCACTTGCGGTGGTGGGCACACACGGAAAAGCTCAGCAGATTGGACTAAACACTAGGACAGAGAGGGCCCCCCCACACCCTTGGCTCCAGCGCTCCTGCTCGCGAGGGGCACTGTGGGCACTCGTGCCACCAGGTCCGGGGCCGCTTCCCACGAGAGCATGGCACCCGCTTTGTTCCATCGGCCGAAGGTCGTAAGCTGGAGCTGCAGCAGCGCCCGATCAAAGTCCCCTGCCTACCGACTTGGAAAGGAAGCTACAGTGGAAGTGGTCCTGGGCTGCCAGCCTCTCCGAGGGCCTGCCACGTTGCCGGCGCCAGGGCTGAGGTATGCGGGCCGTGAGGCGCTCTCACCAGTGGCGGCTGCTGGGGCTTCGGAGAGAGAAGCAGCAGAAGGTCGCGGGGGGCTGAGGAGTATTCGGTAGTCTGGCATCCCCAAGCGGACAGCGGCCCCTCACTAGCATGTCCAAACCTGTTGTGGGAAGAAAAGCCAAAAGGGCCGAGTTGGCTTCCTTGCCAGAGCTGCTGCTTGGTCTCTGAAGCAGCACCATTTCCAGCAAAGGAGGGATGACGGGGGGGGGGGGGGGGGGGGGGGGAGGCAAGAGCCGGGAAGGCTCCTGGCCGGGCCACGCTCCTGGCGAGCCGCCAAGCCCAGCACGGTGAGTGCACCACAGTGCCAGGTGCTCCCGCAGTTCCAAGGAGTCCCCAGCTCTCCTGGCCTCCGGTGCAGGCCGCCACCGGGCAGGACGGCAATGCGCTGCCGAGGAGTGCTCTGCGGGACCCAGAGGAAGCGTGCGGCGGGCGAGGGAAGCGGTGGCGCTCCGGGGGCTGCACGGCGCCTCACACGGGCGCAGGCACGGGCCTGGCTGAGCGCAGCAGAGTCCAGTTTCTCCTGGAGGGGTTTAAGTGCCCCGCCCTGACCATTAACCAAAATACAGGGCCACCTATTCCCAGCCAGATGCAGGGGCTGGGGCCAAGGCTTGAGCAACTGTTCAGCTTGTTTTATCACTTAGGATGCCGAGGGACAGTAAGATGAAGCAAATGTATTCCACCACCTGGGTGGGGAGAAGTGTGGTGGGGGGCACAAAGGAACACCAACGGCTCTGAGATCTTCCCACATCTTCTCAGCCCATCCAAATTCCCTGGGCCAGCAAGCAGTGCCCTGTGCTAAGTGCTTTATCCTGCAAGGTGTGGCAACTGGCCTTTGCTCACAATGATCCACCAACCGGACGAGAAATTAACCAGACCGTCACATGGAAAACGGCTTGCCCAGCTTTCTGACCTTTTCTGGTCTAAGTGGAGCTCATTCTGAACTGCTCCACAGCCTCCCTTCCTTCAGAGTCCCTTTTGCCCTGCTGGACGCTGCCGGCTGCCAAGGAAGTCGTGTGTGGAGGGCTGGGGGGAGGCATTTACCTTAACAGTGCTGTCGACCGCGCCAGAGAACAAGCGGCCCCTGGAGACTGCCAGGGCGGTGACGCTGCCCTGGTGGCGCAGCAGGGTCTGCGTGCAGATCATGTTGTCCATGCTCCAGACCTGGGTGGGCAAAACGATTCGTGGGCGTTAGTGCGGCAGATGCTGAAAGGGCGCCAGGCCGTCGGAACGAGCTGTGCCCTGCCCGGGTTTCAGAGTGGTCAAAGATCCCTAAACCACTTAATCCAGGCCAGAGGGATCAAAACCGACTTTGGGTACAAGCTCATTTACAGAGCTTTGGACTTGTAAATGCCATTAAAACATTTAACACACGCTGCTGGTAAAGGAGGCATTTAGACTGGATGAGGCTTAGGAAGAGTCAAGTCACCGCCCTCCAGAAAACACAACCCCACCTCTCTCCCCCATGCTGCTTCCAGGCAAGGGGCACACACGCCAAGAGCAGCGACAGGCTGCATTCTTCAAAGGGCTGCTAGTCCTCAGTGAGGTATGACTGCAGCATTTCCCAACCCAAACATTCCCCAAATGCTTTGGACTATGACTCCCGTTGTCCTTGAACATTAGCCATGGTGGCTGGGCTGATGGAAATTGTAGTCCAAAACATCTGGGGGGCACCAGCTTGAAGGAGGATGGGCAAGTGGCAGAGTAAGGTCTCTTGGTGCTCCTGCCAGAAGAGGTGCACCTCAGGAGTTCGGCAAGGGCCCCACAGGCCTGGCCACGAGAGCTTTGGAGTAAATCCTGTTAGGAAGGGAGGCAAAGCCTAGAATTACGTGCTGGGGGGCATATTAGGGGCGAGAACGTGTGTGACAAAATGGAAAGCGCAATCTCGGGAAGCTTGCAGGTAAAGTCACCTGGCGAACCGGGAAGAGGCATCATCCAGGCCTCCACGCGCTGTGTGCTTATGCAGGAAGCACGGGGAAACCAGCAGGTGAAACTGGTATGGGAAAGGAATCTTGGTTTGATACATATCACTGAGACATGACAGGATGAAACCCATGGCTCAGATACGGCAACAGAAAGGTAAGCATTGTTCAAAAGAGCCAGCCTAAGAAAGGGAGAGAGCAACACTATATGCTAAGAACATGGGAGCAGACCAACTACACAAGCCACAACGTCCATGAACCCCAGCAGAGGCCCTTCGAAGGCATCTGGGCGAGGGACAAGTGATAGTGCTGAAAAGCCATTTTGTATTCACTACTACATGACCCCCGAAATTTGGTGGAAGCAGCCCACTTCCAACCCCGTCCCACCCAAGCAGAGAGTGAAGGCGCAAGCCCCTGCACACTCCGTGGCGGAGAAGCCTGGGGAAGGTCAGTTCTCCCTCCCGGGAGTGGCTCTGCAGTGGGGGAGCAGCAGCAGGGCGACAGCTGCAGCTTCTGCCAGACCCCCCGCAACAGGCTTTTCCCTGGAGGTCTCCAAGTGCTGCCCAGGCTGCACCAGCAGCACAGGGACTGGTGATGGGGCAGATGAGGAAGACTGGGAACTTCCGTGCCGGTGCCAAGCCTGCTACGCAATCACTGAAGAGACTCGCTTAGAAACCCACAGCTCCTCCTGCAGCCAGGCTTCCGATGCCAGGAGACATCTCTTCCCCTGCTCGGTGCTGCCGGGATGGGAGAGCACGAAAGGCTCGAGTCGAGGTTCCTGGTGGTGTGTCTCGAAAGCAAGCAAGGAAAGCAGTTTCCCTCTGGGCTATGCCAACAGAGAAGATTTCCGTGTCTTGCTTCTGCAGCAAGTAAGTGGCTGATGCGGCAAAGGCCTGCCAATCGGAGTGTGTGGAGGCATCTGGGATGCCAAAGGGAGCCGTCAGAAGAGTGCAAGACAGAGCAGGCCATCTGTGAGAAAGTCTGGTGAAGGCAACGCACCACGGTTAGTCGGTCATGGCTCAGCACTGCACGCGAACACAGCCGCTTACACCTCGATTTCGGCCAGGCCTCCTCGGAGTCCTCAGGCTGCCCTGCACGGGAGGAGCTGCAAGAGGCTCCTGTGACGTAGGGCTGCAACCCTCTCTCGACAAGTGTCCATTCATGGCTCCGCATGGACCCGCACGATACCTTCCGGCCGAGGCCCTGCGTGTTCAGCCTGTTCACACGTGGCGGGGCAGGGCGGGGCGGGGCACACTGGGGATGCTTACCAAAGCTGCAGGTGACACGAAGCCGGAAAGGGCAGCCAAAGACCGAGCCCGCATCCAAAATAACCTCCACGGGCAGGACACTCGGCCAAGACCAACAAGCTGCAGTCAGCGCGGGGAACTGCCAAGCCTTGCCGTTCTCGAACGGGGCCCTTCACCCACCACCAGTGATTAGTGCGCCCCACATACCCGCAGCGACCGGTCGTATGACGCGCTGAAGACTTTGGTCTGGTCTGGTGTCGAGATGACGGCCAGGGCGTACACAGTGCCCACATGTCCTGTCAGCGTGCGCACCTGTTCTTTGGATTCAATGTCCCACACCTGGAGTCAAGAGAGCAAACTGCCTTCAGCCCCCTTCTCTCCACGGCTTTGCCCCACCACGTGCCCTCTTGTCAGGAGTCAGAACGGGATGAGCACAAAGGGAAATGGCAGCACACGTGACCTGAGCCCGCCCGAACTTACATGGATGAGATTCTCATAGGTGCCACACACAATATGGTGGTTCGTGACTGCGATGGAGTAGACACTGCCGCCTGATGTCTGCAGAACATGCACGCACTCCAAGTTCCGGATGTCCCAGATCTGAGGCAAAGGAAAAGTGTGGGAGGAAAGATGACCATTTCCGGGCTGGCAACAAAAATCGACCCATTTTCAGTCGCCATCCCGGAGCAGGCAGTGAGTAGAGTGGGACAGTGCACGTACTTTGATCGTTTGGTAGGACCCACTGTACAGGTGATTCTGGGATGCCACGAGTGCTCGGACCCAGTGATTAAGGCCCGTCAGCTCCTTCTTCAGCTTCAGCTCAGTGCCTACAATGTCCCAGACCTGGAGGCCAGACAAACAGAGGCAAAGGCAGAAGCAAAGGTCACTAAATCCAGTCCTGTGCTTCAAGACTCGGCCACCCCACCACTCATCCACCAGGCCTCCAAAAATCAACCTATAGGCAAGCTGCAGCAGGAAAGGCCCGAAGGCAGACTGGGATCGACTGAAAGATCTCCAAGTGACTTGCAGTGGATTAGCAAGGGTTTAAAAATAGTGACAGCAACACATTTTTTCCTTCAAGATTACATAAGAATCCATAAGCTTAAGGTTAGGGAGAAACGGGAGTAGGCTTGCGTGTGAGTTCTAGCCCTGGTACTGCAGGCAAATGCCTTGGCTGAACCTGTCCTCAGAGACCCCCGATTCTGCAAAGTGATGCCCACCTCTGAGGTCACTATTCTGGGTCCAAATGAAAAAGATGGTAAGCCTAATGTCTGCCTATCTCAAGCGACATCACAGTGCCCCCCTCCCCCCTCCCCCACATAGCAAACTGCTTTACCAACCCAAATGAGGAAGCAAAACTATGCCGGAGGAAAACACATGCAGTCTATGAAGGTTTGACCAGGAAAATGCGGTTTAAAAGCCTCGTTAAGCCCCAAAGCTCAATGCAAGACCTGGGCTCTCCACCCTCGTTGAGTCTAACCTACTTCTTGGGCTGCTGCAAGGACAAAGAGAGAGCAAAACCCACGGACACTTCCCTGCCGTCCTAGGAGAAAGGGTAGGGTAGAAATAAAGGAAGTGCCTGGGGCAGGAATGCTTACTATGAGCTGGGAGAATGAATGGCACAAACACCATCATGGATTTAGTGGCTAGAAAAAGGGAAAGGAGAGAAAACGAGGCAGTGAAAAAAGGAAAGGGCAGGAAGAAGCAAAAGCAGGGGCAGCTGGAGAAGGGAACGGGCTGACTTGGGGAAGGGAAATCAGCAGCAGTGAGAAGAGAGATGAAATCAGACTTGAGAAAAGAGGAGCGGGGCCTGGAGAACAGGCCAGGGGGCTGTCCTGAAGCAGAGAGGGTTTGGAGGCAAAGGAGCGGAAACGCTCTGCTTGCCCCACTGCATCCATACCTTGATGGCCTTTAGAGAACCACTGAAAAGCATGTTGTGTGAGGAGACCAGTGTGCACACGGGGTTGTCATGCGCACGGATGGTGTTGACCTTCTGCAAGGTCTGAATATCCCAGACCTGCAAAGAGAAGGAGGCCACGTGAGATGGCTGCTGGCTCAGCCTGCCACGCATCCTCTATCTTCCACACGCGCGCGTGGAAACGAGACTGGGGCCCTCCCAAAGCAGTCTACTCACAATGATGGTGCAATCAGCAGAGCCGCTATACAGTTTGTTCCTGGGGAAACAGAAACAGAAAACAGTTTGCAGAAAAAGCAGCACAGCAGACAGCCTGTCTGTCTGTGGTGAGTAAGAGCGGCCTCCAAGGGACCGGGCAGAGCGGCTTATTCCGACACAAAAGAACAGGAGCTGTTTTTCCAAGACAATGACATGACTCTCACATGTAGAACAGTTTTTTTTTTCCAGAGTGCAGAATGCAGTGTCAGCTGTAAAATTTAGCTTTCTTTTTTTAAAAACATCCCTGGCCTCAAGCTGGGAAAGTCAGAAATAGAAAAGGCCACATTATTCTGATCAGCCTGGATGCAGCTTTGGCATTTACGTGTTTCTCACATGCAGTTCAAGCAGCCCTGACTCAGGGAAGAGGGATTTGTTCGAAGATGTCATGCATGTTAAACGAAAACAGCACCATACATGCGGGGAGTAAGACAGTGGGAGCAGAGAAACAGTCAAATCCCTGTGGCCTCTCATGCAGGGGCAGCAGAAAGCACGTGGGTCGCCTGCCTGGACTTACCCTTGGATGCAGAGTGCCAGGACGATTCCGTCGTGGCCTTCCAAGGTCTTTTGGCACTTGTATGTGGTACAGGTATCCCACACCTAACAGGAAACAGACAAAACATGTGACTGTGCTCAAAAGCAGCCAGGAACCAGGACAGGAAATCAGCTGATGGGCCCAAGCTGTGAATGCAGGAAGCAGCTTGCCCATCGTCTGTGCACCTGTTTTCCCATCTTTCAGGCATAGACAGACCCATCCAGGAAGGAAATGAATGAGCAGATATTCCCAGGGAGCGAAACACAAACACAGCCCCAGGAAATTCCCACTGTGCCCTCAAGACAGGTGAGGGAGAATATGCTTCATTGAAAAAAAGGAGTCACACCTCCTAAACCCGGGCGGTGGAGGGGCGCAGGAGAGGGTGAGCGGCCAGGCCCTTCTGCCACAGCTGCAGTTCCGCCAAGAAGCACTTCCAGGGGGCTTCTTCCATCCCTGCCTTGCTGCAAAGTGAAATTCTCTTCCAGTGGTCTTTTTATAGCTCCTAGGAGGATGGGAGGCAAGCGGAGTCCAGCCCCCGCCCCCCCAGCTCAAAACCACTGTGAAAGGGAGAAGCAGAGCCACCTTCGCAGCATCACTGCTCACTGTGAAGCGCAACCCGCTGAAGGCAGCTGCCCCTCCAGGTTTGCCTGCTCGGCTGCCCGCATGCTCTGCCCGCATCTGGAGGGCAGCTGCAAAGAGGGCGCTGCACTGGAGCCTGCGCCTCTCAGAGCAACCTGGTGTTGCTTCCTTCCCCCCAAGCAGGGTGGTGTGTGTGAGGTCTGGGGGGCTTCTCCTGGAGTTGACCCTTGCGGGCAAGAGGCCAGCAGAAAGCCAGAACATTCAGGAGCATAAAACTAGCTGCAGAACAAGGTCTCCAACATATGAAGCATGACATTGAGAAAGATAAAGAAAGATACCCTGGGAATTAAGCGCTGCACAGCACTTAACTTGTTGTACAGTCTAAAGATGCACAAACACAGTCTTAATGAAGACACCTTCATCAGAATAAATTTGATCCCACAGTGGGCTGCCATTTGCCACGATGGCTTTGAACAAAATGGCGGAGATACATGGCCACTGCAGCCAACACCTCTCCCAGGACTACTACGCACAGAGTGCCTTTTCAGCTTATCTGCAGGCCGGCTGCCGAGGGTTGCTCTACAGACACAGCAAGGGGTGCTACGGAGGGAATTCTTCAGGCCGCAGAGGCTCCCAGCTGGGCTCTCAGTGCCACCCAAGCCCAAGCAACATTCATCTGTCTGTGTGCCTCTGCTGCTGGGACCAGAAGGGCTCATCTTCTGATGAGGCTCAGCCATGCTGACATAAGAGAAGCCGGAGCAAAGAGGCGCTGTGCCCATGGGAGAAAGCTCTGCCACAGCCTCTGACCGGGTTCAGAGGAGAGATGCAGGAGTCCCCTCTGTGCGCGGCAGCTGACTCACTCAGGAGGGCAGTGGGCGGAGGAGCCAATCACCCCACCAGCCCTTCTAATTCCAATCCGGGTGGAAGCTGGGTTATTCCCGCAGCCCTGATGAAAAGCTATTTAATCTTTCCCTCTTCCCAGCCCTTCTCCTTTTCCCTTGAGTGCTGTGCTTTTTACACTGTAAACCTGTGAGCAGGAATGGTCTTGTTTCACTGAATGCCTGAAAGCTATTCAGGGAAACTTTTTGGCTGAGGGGCAGGATAAAATAAATAAATAAATAAATAAACACCCTTCAGTAACACTAATTCACGCTCTTGGGGCCCCACTTATAAAACCCATGTTGACAAGAGAACTGCAACCTTCGGGGGCCCCACACCACCCAGATCAGAACGACAGTGGGGCTGATTTTCTGTCTTCCAAGCACTCTCCATTTTTCTTCCCAGCAGAGGACAACCAAAGGTTAACTACAGTCTTTATTACGTTAAAGCTGGCTAGCCAGGACCGGCTTTGTAATACAAAGGGACTAATATATGCCATCAGCAAGAGGCATCCATTGAGGAGAGACCCTCCAGTTGTGGAGTTAGTTCCTGCCCCTTCTGGGAGTTGATTCTAAACTAAATTCCCCTCCTCCCTTCTGAACTGAACAGAGATGGCTTCACCCTCCAGGAGGTCTGTGAAGCTGGAGGGCCAGACAGTGAGAATGACAGACTTACCTGACTGGTCTGCTCATCTGCCTTGATGCTGAATCATTGGGCCGAGAAAGTCACACCCCCTTTGACTGCCTGTTCCACAGAGTCTCCCCTGGAACCTGGGATGGTTTTGGCCTCCCCAGCTGCTTCTCAGCCCTGGCATCGCAGCGATGCCTTCCAACCCCACCCCTCCTTCCAGGCCAGATTCAGAATCCGGAATATCCACCTGGGAATGCTGCCCTGTGGAAGAAACAGACCCAATCCCTACAAGTAGACCCTCCTGTCAAGCATTTCTCTTTCCGTCAACGCTGTAGGGCCTGAACAGAGGGAACACTATAACTCATGGGCTTGCACTGCCTCAGGATTAATTGCGGTGTTGCTGCATGGTCCATCCCTCGCCCAGGTCCTGTGCGGCTCTTACCTTAATAGTTTTGTCAGACGAGCCACTGAAGAGCAAATCCCCAATGGAATAGACACACAGACACCAGACTGGGCCCTGGTGTCCCACAAAGGTGCCTTTGCACTTGAAGATCTGCTGGGGGTCATATGCTACAAAGGAGAAGAGGAGGCACATGAGCGCGAGTCACTTTGAGCCAACGCTCTTCTAGGGAACGCCAGATCACCAATCACGTTCATCTGGTTTTCATGGACGCAACTCCTCTCAGCAGCATCTGTCTGTCGGCTTTTTGAGGAGGGATAACGAATGCCTGAGTGTAAGAGCAGCACCACCGGGCTGGACCAACGAGTCCAGCATCCTTTGCCCAGTAGTGGCCGATTGGGTATTTTCAGGAAGCTCACAAGCAGAGCGCGAAGGTAGCAACCTTCCCCACTCCCCCCCCCTTGGCCCCCCCCCCCCCCGCCACTGGTATTTGGAGGAGGCTTGCTTGCTCGTCACTGAACAAGAAAGCGCCCCATGCCTACCAGAGCTAAAAGCTGACTTTTATTTGCCCCAGTTCCTTAAGAGCCCTTGGGATGCGAGGTCCACACCCAGGGCCACACAAGGCTTTCTTTCCATACCACCAACTGAGCCACATGCGGAGCAGAACCCTCAGCATCCCTTGTCCAACTGGGCCTGTGCGCAAAATGGATAAACATTCCGAAAATGTTGCCTTAGAGCAGGGCTCCTCAAACTCGTTCAATGGGGGCCAGCTGAAAGGCAGCGGCTACACGTGTGGGTCGGTGAGGAGGGGGGCTTGGGCCAGTGAGGTGTCGTCAGGCGAGTGTGAGGTGAGGTTCAGGGTGCACGGCGGCAGCAGCTTGCTCGCTCGCTCGGAGATCTCCCAGCGAGTTCAAAACCGTCTCCGAGCGAGCGAGCCACTGCCTCCAGCCCGCACTGCAAGGCAGCGGCAGGCACATGGGCACGGGGGAGGCAGGAGGCAACGGCGGCTTGCTCACTTGGAGGTGGTTTTGGACTCGCTGGGAGATCTCCGAACGAGTCCAAAACTGTCTCTGAGCGAGCAAGCCACCAGCTCCAGCTCACATTGCGAGCACGCGCGCGGGCGGGGGCAGCAGTGCGGGCCAGATGAATGGGCATGGCAGGCCAGATCCGTCCTGCAGGCTGTAGTTTGAAGACCCATGCCTTAGAGGTCCTGATCTGACTAGCAGCCTAAATTTTGCTCCCAGAATCTCACAACTGTGCTTATAATATATTAAATGAATAAGTTCCTTTATTTATTAGATCTACACCCTGGCTTTTTCTTTTTTAAAAACTTGAAGGGGCTTGCACAGTTCTTCTCCTGCTCTCAATCTTATCCCCACAAAAGCAGCCCTGGGAGACAGGCTGGGCTGAGAGTCTGCGGCAGGCCCAAAGCCACCCGGCTGGCTGCATGGCAGTGTGGGGACTAGAACCTGGGTCGCCTGAGTCCCAGTCCTACGCTCTTAACCACTGTACCACACGGTTGCCCACCCCCCTTGCAAAAAGCAGCCTTGAAGCCATGGGATACAGAAATCTGTGACTGATACAATGGGCAGGGGAATCGATATAAATCATAATCAGCACCATAATATACTAACAACAAATACCCTGCACACCACATTTCCACAGCCATGAGTGTAGCCATGCACCATGGGAGCAGATTTCTACCCCGTGCTTTTCTGGCCAGTGCACAGTACCTCGACATTTCCATCTGGACTGTGACAACCCAGCAGTTGAACTTGAAACTAAGCTATAACTCAAGGAGGTCGGTAATTCAATAGATTAGTTCTATTTCCAAAAATATACATCATGGTACAATGCTGCATTAATGAAAACTAAAAGGCAGAAGCTCTGCAGTATCAGCCAATGCCTTGGGAGAAACGCAGCTGGATACTCACAGCCTAAGATTCCCATGTTCAGCCGGGCGTTGATGTGAGACAGCTCATCCTGAAGAGGGAAAGTGGAAAAGCCTATCAGAGAAGTGCTGCAATCGCAACCACAGTGTTGATATAATAATACAGAGGGCACCCGCTGAGCTGATCCCGCTAGGGCTAAGAAACCCCTGGATCTGCAAGCCCTAAGCAGTCCTGGAAACCAAGAGGGGGATATCATCCGCTCAGCTCCTGGGGATGGGAGAAAACCTGCTTGTGAGCCAAAGTAACCCTACTGGTCAGGGCAGGCCGTGGCTGCCAATGGAATTTACTGAAAAGAAAACTCTTTGGAAAGGGGTTGAGCTATGTCTGCAGCACCAAAGCTCGCAAACCCTTCATGTGCCTGGAGAACAGATCGCATGCTTGCAAAGCAGAGGAAAGATCCTGAAAGGGTTGCATTGACGTTTTCACTACCAACAGTTTGGGCACTTAGGAAAGATTGAATAATTCAGATCTGTAAATGACCGATTTTGTTCCCCAAATGATGTGAATAAAAAGACATGGTTCCATGTATGATATTCAGGATATTCAGAAGTACTTCTTGAAGGCTTAACCTCCATTCTCTTTCTTTCCTTGTTTTAGCTCCCTTCTCCCTTCCTGGTTTTCCAACTCTGATGAAGGCAAAAGGATCCGTGGCTGATATGCTGGAATGGTGGATAGGGACTTTATTCTACAGGCAGGTGAAACGGGGGCTTAACACATCAACAGGAGGGGGTTTCACAGAAGAAGGGGGGTCAGGGCTTGCAGTGGTCGTTTTTGACAGTGTTATGCAGACGTGCTGCTGAGACATTAGCTTCTCGCTCACGGATCGTTTCCTGCGTCATATAATGCCCCTGTGCTGCAAACCTGTAGTACTAGCCCAGTGTGGTTCCTATGATCAACTCCGTTTATCAGCACGCAGCTTAGCTTTCAGCTAAAATCCCAAATCAGGCTTTTGGCACTAGCAGTGCTTCACCCACTAGATGAATAGTCAAACCCAGAATCATACTGTCCAACTCAATTTGTGAGATCCATTGACTGTCTAGGGCAGGGGGTCCTCAAACTTTTTCAATAGGGGGCCAGTTGAAAGGCGGTAGTGACTGGTGCCGGCTGGTGAGGCACGTGTGCCTGGGCGCGTGGACTGGTTTGCTCGCTCGGAGATCTCCCAACGAGTCCAAAACCATCTCCGAATGAGCAAGCCACTGCTTCCCTGCCCGCGCAGTGAGGCGGCAGTGAATGCACGGGCAGGTGGTGGGTGGCAGTACAGGCCGGATAAATGGGCATGGCGGGCCGGATCCGTCCTGCGGGCCATGGTTTGAGGACCTGTGGTCTAGAGAATGAGGTCACAAGGAGTCCCCAGCAGAAAAAACAGTTGCAATGATTTGAACAGCTGAGCCAAGCTGCTGGGAAAATTCAAGCCCTAGGGCAGAGGCAGGCAAACCGGGTCTTTCCCAATGCGCTGGGTTACATCTCCCTAAGTTCTGGCCACCAGCCATGCTCGCTGGGGCTGACAGGAGTTGCACTCCAGCATGACAGGGGACTACAGCCCGCCCTTGCCTGCACCACTCACGTTGAGCATAGATGCGTCCCGCCGGAACTCCATCAGGTCCTCGCTCAGCTTGCTCTGGTTTTCATCCAGCACATCTAAGCAATGACAGTGGGGAGAAGGGGACCTTGGGTTTCCAAATGCAAATTCGAAAGGGCAAAAGCTCCATAGCGTCAGGACCCAGCCCCAGCCCCAGCAACTGCGGACTGGTCTGTGATCAGTATCATGCCGAGTGTGGATGCAATGTAACAGCCGAGGGTTAGGAGCCACTAGCCAGGAAAGCCCATTCTAGCGGTAATTTCCACTACAAACATGCTTTATTATTTACTAGTTCTGGGTGGGCTGGATTAGCCCAGTTTTACACAACTGTAAAACAGCTGTGCCCCATCTGAATAAAACCATGCACTCAGCTATCATAGGCATGGCCCCAGCCTCCCTGCAGCCCTCCAAAGGAGGGCTTAGATGCCTAGGTTTCATGATTTTGGTACTGTGGTACCAACAGACTTACATCCTCTTTCACTGTTCTGTATTTGTGCTATTTAAACAGGCCGCTCGAAAACGCAGTTCTCTCACCACCTGCTTACTCTGCACGGCTCTCCTCCTACATGGCCTCAGATACGCTGGTGCTCTCTCAGCCTTAGAGCCACAGGAGCAAATATGGGGATGCCTGGACTAACTGGCCAACCTTGCACAGGGAGTGCGAAACAAACGCTAAGACAATATAGCACAAAGTGCTTCGAACACCCCACAATTATCTGTTTAGCACATCTGGATCTTGTGCTCCTCCTGCTGGAATACTTTGTCCATTTTGTTTCACAACCACCCCATGGACCAGCTGTGCTGAGAAAAGCTGAGCCATGCTCATGCACGGCTCCCTAGCGAGTCTGAGCAGGGGTCTCTGCAGTCCAAATCTGAAACTGCATAACTGCTGAGCAAGCCCAGCTCAGCTGTCAAAGAGGGGGGCCTCATTCCTTCCTGCAGGGAAACTCTCAAGGCTTAGGTGGGCCCGGGAATTCAAAAAGGCTTTTAGCTGGGGACACTTTTAATAAGGTGACCTACAAAAGGTTCCAGGTTTTGGTCCAGGCAGTTCCTGCCCGATCGTCCATTAAGTGGAAGGTGGTGTCACCTCTTCCACTGGAGACTCACCAAACTTCAGTTCCAGGTTCTTCTCCAGCTGCTCAATTTTCTCGGAAAGCTTGCCCAGCATGGATCGCAGGAAGGCAATCTCCTGGTCTTTCTGAGCCATGGCTACCTGCATCTCATGGAAACGATCATCTGTCTGCTGAAGGAACTCCTTGAGGCCCTCAAATTTGCACGTTTCCAGGTGAGTCTCATAGGTGTCTTGGTTGCCTATGAACGTACACCTGAAGTATGAGAGAGAAATCAGAGGATGGAGGATTATCTTGGGAACTTTCACATGCCTTGGCTGTCCTCAGACCCCAGCATCAGGAAAGGCCTGAGGACTGCTTTGTTCTATTGCGTATCACAGGGATGCCCCCATCTTCATCTGTGAGAGTCGGGAGGAAATTAATTCCTGCTCACCCATATTTAGAATGGGGGCACTTGATATGCTCACACTCCTTGAGGTGTGCTTCCAGGTTCATCTTGAGAAGTGGCGGACAGTTGGGATTGTTGGGGCAGCGCACCGGCCGGTAATCGCAGCTACCTTCATGGTCCCTGGACAAAGAGGACATGGCATCGATAAGCAAAATCAGAACCAGTCCGCCCTGACGATCCCCAGTCAGAGGGGCCGTTTCAGCAGCTGCACAAGGAAAAACTCTGCCCACGTGCCTTTCAGAGTCTTCCCAGGGCCCTGCCCGTCCTTTTAAGGATGCAAAAAACTGCAGGAAGAGCACCAGCCCCTGCCTTGAGAGAAAAAACACCAGCAATCTCTCCAAGCCCTGGGGCCCAGCTGCGAGCAGGGGAATAAGCTGGCAAGCACCGGCCTTTCACACTGACTTACTTTCTGGCACTCAGTTTAATGGTGAATGGGCAGCCATGGGGATCCACCTCAAACGCAGAAAGCTTGCCACTGGCGGCAGGGCGGCAGCCATACTTGCAGTGAACGAAGAGCTCCCCAATCTGCTCGGCTACAGCAATGTTGTTGACGACCACCGTCAGTTTGGCATTGTCCACTGGGCACTTCTCTGCAGAAAGAAACACATTTTGTGAGGATTTTGTGTTCAGGTAGCATGCTAAGAGTCGGGTTTCTAAATGCTGGTTTAGTATAAGGTCGGAGTATGTGATCAGTCAGTCTGAAGTGGGTAAACAACCTACAGTCTGGTATGAAGTCTGATTTGAAAAGCAGCAGGGGGGGCTGGCATGTTGAGCAGACGAAGAGGAAAGTGGACAAGCAACTCTGAAACAGTTCGCCTCTCCTGGTCTAGGAGCTCAAGTCATGGCTTGGATGTGACATAAAGCTACCACCCAACGAAGGTTGTTTTAGCAAACTGATGTACTGATTCAATTAGCATAAATCTGCATGTGGATAAAAACCAAGTTCTGAAGTGTATTTCCTTCATATGTGTAATAGCAAGCCTCATCTTAAAACAGGTGTTTCCTCCCTCTTCTGGAAGAGCACTTCCCAGCTGCAGTTATTTTTCTTAATAAGCACATGCGTATTGAAAATATTTTTACCAGGTTTTACAATAATTTTATTGGTTCTTAGGCCTTAGAGCTATGAGAAGGTTCACAGAAGGCAAAAACAAGCCAAGCCAAACACAAACCCGCCACCAGAAGGGGCGGCCTGCAGGTATATAAGCAACACCTGGTGGAAACCCCGAGTCCAAAGCAGAAGCTGGGCTGTGCTGCCCAGTGGCCAAGGATGGCTCTTCCAGAGCCTCCACAAGCCGCTTGCCAACTTGCTCCTGTGCCAGGGCAGCTCTGGTGTAACTGAAAAGCTGCTTTCCAGAGAGGTGCTCAAGGGTCTCACCAGGACCATTTGCCTCTAAGCACAAGGGACACTGCTGGCCCGAATGAAGAGTTTGTGCAAAGATGAACTTTTGTCCCAAACGAACAGATCACCAGTGAACACTCAGAAAAAGGCCAAGGGGAATTGCAATATCCCTGGACATTACAGGACTGCACATTTTTTTATAAGCACAGCTTGCGTTTTCCAAGGGAATGGAAAATAAGAAGAAACGGTCTTAGTAAAGGTGGTAGAAAATGGTGCCAAAAAGAATCTTTGGGTACTTACCAGAAGTTAAGGCACATCTCCTGCAAAATGTGTGCTGTGAAGAAAGAGAATGCAAGATGGCGAGAATTACTGTGTCGGGTCCTGCACGCCCCAGCACCCTGCAAGGTGCCTCTTTTTATCCCCAGTATCTGGTAGTCAGTGGTCGGTCATTTCGGGAGTTGGATAATCCAAATAGCTAATAAATGTTGATTCATTCATCTTGCTTGTGGCTTGTGAGCCTCGGTTAACAGACACTGAACTCACAACTTCCAACTCTCCCATCCCCTCCTCATCCTATTAAAGTGACAGGTTTTTAAACTATAACTCTGTGGCTTGTCCAGAACACAGATTCAAAAGCTTTAACTAAAGCTTTTTTCTTTTTTCTGGAAAAAAGGAAAAAAAGTTTGACAGCCAAATATGTAAAAACATGATGCAGTAAAACCACACAAAAACAAAAGCAAGTGTACACACAGCTACCATATGTCAGTGTTTAAAATGGTTTTCAGCAGTCAGATAACTGAATTCCAGGCGACCAGCATAGCTGTCTTGCTCAGCCTGTTCTTCCAGGAGATGCTACTGATGTTCCTGAGAAACCTGGATTCATCGCAAGGACATGCCTCTCATTCGCAATCCATGTTCATTTATGCTTTGTTCACATTTCTATTCAAAGAATTTGCAGAGCTGTGTAGAGCAGACTGATATTCTATACCAGAGGAAGAATGATTTGCATAACTCAAAAGGACTGATGCCCTGATGAGGCCATTAGGGACAGCCATCAGCACTAAGAAAATGTTGTTAACAATGAAATTACATCACTGATTGACCTTTGAATCTTTGGAAGAAATTGCCACACCTAGGACACTGGAAATTGCCCCTTTCTGCACACTGCCCACTGACCATCTCCAGAAAGGACTTGCTTAAGGCATGCCATAACTTGGGGGTCCTGCCTCAAGCCGGCGGCTGGACCCAATGGCCTTTTTGGCCCCTTCCAACGCAACAATTCTACGATTCTATGACTATGCTTAAGGGCAATTTTGAAATAGTTCAACATGATTGCTCTACTGGGAAATGAAGAGGTCTGGCACATGACAAGAATGAGTGGACAAGATACAGAATACACAACCTTTTAACTTGTATAACATATAGCATTTTTCTTTCCATTGAACTAGCTAACTTTCTTCAGATCGACACTGGGTTTTTAAACCTCAACATGGGCAGTCTCACACTGCTGATTTTCTTCCTCCGTGTAACTAAAAATGCAGCCTAGTTGAGCGCCTTACCCCACAAGTTGTGATCACTGGATCTTTAAACACACTGCAACACAACTGGCAGCAGAGTTTCACTGAAGGATGCTCAGCAAACACCAGGGGCTCCTACACAGGGAGAACAACCCACCAGAAAACAAAGATAAAATGAACAGCATTCAGCCCCTCCTTACAATCCAGCAGTGTGGCACAAAACAGTGGGCAAGGTTTTGGAGCAAAAAAGCCAGTGGCAAGAACATGCAGGAAAAGAAGCCCAAATCAATCCGAACACAGAGTTTAAAAGGTATCCTTAAACACCTAAATGAGCGTTTCCCTGCTTGTGACGACTGCCAACAAAAGACTAACTCCCTGTAATGTGCAGAGAAGTTCACAGAGGCTCAGTGTTAGCATGCTCAGAGTCTGGCATGTTCTCACATGCATTCTGTGCATGTTATACATATAGACAGAGAGCAAGGCAGCGTGCGAGCAAGAATGAGAGAAAGAATGAATGACTTTGACAATAAAATTTACACTACGCTTCTGATCTCAACATAGGCACCAAGTCTAGATTTGATGGACTGGAAAAGACTTGAATGTGATTTGGGAATTTGGAGCTGCCTGACAATTTCAGCCACAAGTCCCAGACACATTTAGGCAGTGTTGCTATTTAGCTCCCTGCCCCACACAGACACTATTAATCTTCCTCATTTATTATCCTAGTGCAAAGTAAATGAACAGCCGGGGGTGGGGGGCAAACAGTGGAAGACCTCAATGCACTTCCACAGGTTGCTGTCCCAGAGCGAAACGCTACACCTGAGGGTCTGCCATGGACTCCCCATCAACTCTCTTGTGGTTCATGGTCCACCGAATGCAGGGCTTTCTCAGTGGTGGGCTGCCCAGCTTCAAAACTGAGTGGGCTGGTTTGCATGGCAGGACAAATCATGGTGGGGTACAGTACCCGAGGGCCATCACTCCACTCCCAGGTGCCTGCAGGCGGCCCTTTCACACAGCACCTGCACACTGTGAACTGCTGCGTCATGCAAGTCCAGGCAACGGACTACTTTCAAATAAAATGGGAAAAAACCCCAGGTGGGTTGCCACATCGTGCAACCCAGGCGAGTGTGTTTAGAGGCCAGGTTAAAAGGCACCTCTTTAGTGAGGCTGGCTGGCACAAGTTGAAGGCTGGCACAGGTAAAGTTTTTGATCCTGCTGCTCCTGCTGCACTCTGGTTGCATCAGCCTTGTAAAAAAATTACACATCTATGTACCTTCTGGTTTAAACAGCACTGTGTTCCCTTTGGCTGTTTTGATTCTGCTGTTACTTTGTTTTATTTTTATTCTGCATGTGTTGCGATTTGCTCTGAGCAGTAATTCTGGTTCATTTGTGCAGGGTGAGGTTTTCATTTCTCATTTAAAAAGATGTCCAGCCCCTCTCTGGCAGCAAACACAGGCCCATCAACCCCTGCTCTGCATCACTTAGTGAGAGACTCCCCCAGGCCCCCAATACCTACTGGCTCCTCCTCTTCCTCATGGAGAGAGAAAGTTGAGCGCAAGGACATGTTGGACTCAGAATGCAAAGAGCGGACAGAGATGGCAGAGTCAGAGCGACGTGGAGTGCCAATTGGTGGCTGCGGAGGGAGAAAGAGAGAAATGAGGGTAACTTACACCTGTATATCGCGCAACACCGAGTGGGGTGTTCTCCTTACATCTGTGGTGCTCGGTTGCTGGTCACAGGTCCATTTTCTGCCTTTGCAACCTCTCTCAGCCCCAAGGACGACTCTGCTGGGGGGGTGCTAGGCAGCTCTTTCTAGTGGAGGGGGTTTGCTTTATAACATGCACAAGGCATTAGCCAGAGTCTCCTAAAGGCTAGAATTGCAGTAAAATTCTGTGCCAGGGAAAGGCTGATTCTGAAATCTGACAAAATTATAGAAATTAAACAAGTATGCATGACATCACTTGCTCTTGCATAGTTAATTCTGCCAATTTTACTATCTGCTCTGCTTCTTTGTCATGTGAAGGACTCAGATGCCCTCTAAGCCTACCCTCTGGGCCAAGCAAATCTTTTAAGATTTCTAAGATTCGCCTCTAAGATTTCTCTAGGCATCGCGGCACACTTCCACATAACCGCTAAGGACTCAGCAACTGCCGATATTGCTCTTAAGATCCCCTCCGTGCCCACATGATTCTTAGGAAGCCCAGGCTTTTCTACCACACAATCTGGACACACTGCAAATAGCACTTAGTTTCTTAAACTCAGCTTCCCGTCCAGCTTGGGCTCTTTCGGCTGGGGCGGGGGAAGAAAGCAAGTCAGCAGAGCCCTAAGCCATATTCTGTGGAAAAGAATTACAACAGGACGCTTTTCACAGCAACAACACGTTCGCGCTCTAGGAGCAAGGCATAAGCCACAGGGGCTCAACACTCAGGGTTGCCCGGGTGTGGCTGGGCCTTGGCAGGTGGCGTCAAACATTTTATTTGCCCTGCAAAGTTGTTGCCATTGCCCTTAGTAGCCCACCCGGAAAAACCAGACATGCTAAACTTAGATTTTGGAAAACCTTGTTTTGCTTTATGCAAATCATGCGGTTTTATAATTCCTGCTTTGGCCAAACTGTTCAGCCACAGGCTAAAGCTCGAAAAATCTCATACAAATGCGACAATTACACGGATCCTTCCTGGCTTGCAAGCATGTACTTTTGCCCCTGTAGCTGCTGTTTCTACTTGTGAGCTCACCTTCCCAACATGGAAATTCTGGGTGCTCGGCCAGGCTTCTAACCAGGAGTCCCCAGCTACGATCCCTCACCGAACGCGCAACCTGCTTTTCTCATGGACTCTGCTGTTTCTGAGAGTGCTTGTTGTTAGGCTGTCTCTCTCACGCCTGCCAAATTTCTTTGCGTAGACGGTTAGAGACTTCCTCCTATTCAATTCAGCCGGGGTTCTGCACTGTGGCTTCCTGTCCGGGGGTGGGTAGTGGTGGGAAAGCCAGCCGGGCACTCTGCCCACCAATCACCAAGATGGTCCTGGCTGCAGTTTTCCGGGACTGGTTCGGCAAAGGATGCTACAGAGGAACCACATAGGCCTCGGCTGCTCAAGCAGTGTAAGAGAAAGTCTTTTGACCGAGAATCTTGAGGGTTGCTTTCACATTTAAGACTTCTGTAATGTGGGGCTCTACAGAGCTAAAACGGGAGCTGCTACGTGCCAAAGAGTCAAGTGAGACCAAACAAAATTCAGATATTTAACTTACAGGCAGCCCATAGGTATTGGGAAATGCACACCATCAACAGGTGGGATACCACAAGTAACTGCATCTCTGGCTCTGCTGGTTTCATCTGATGACGATAGTTATCGCTTAGCAAGATGGCCTGGTTTCAGTTATCCAGGCTGCAGTAACCTCTGAAGACTACTTTAATGCACGTGTACCTGGGACTGTTCCCGAAGGCAGTTAGGAAGCAGAAGTTATTTTGAGGAAGGTCTGGACACTGCCACACTAACTGGGATCCAAGTTCCGAGCATATAAACTGGCACATCTTCAACGAAGTTGGCTTGTGCTCTCCTTTCAGGCCCAGTATTGACCTTTCAATCCCTGCACGACTCGGGCTGACTGCCCGTCCCACCGTGTACCTGCTACGCTTTGCGGCCACCACAGGAGGCCCTTCTCCACTGCTCCCCACAGAGAGGCTCACCCTGGCCTCTGAGCGGCACTAGGGCTCCTCGGGGTGCCCCCTGCAGACACCTTCCTTCCCCCAGTGAGCAGGGGATCCCAAGGCAGAGCCTCAGTTGCTGAGCAAGGAGTTTGGGGAACGACATGCGGGGGAAGGCCATCTTTTGGGTACCCAGATCCCAAGCTACTTGGAACTGAGAAGGCAGGGACGAGCATTTAAAGCATGCCCAGAGATGAGGAGATCGTCACTGTGGATGGGAACGCTGCGGTGGCATGTTTGTACTGCCCCATTACACCCAACAGACTGACAGTACCATTTTGTACCAACTGACGTTTCCAGACAATGTTTAAGGTTCGCTCTCCATACAGCACGTTTCCGCAATTGAGACTTGAGTGTACTAAAGCATGACTAAATCTGTACGCGCAAGTCATCATACACACCTTGAAAAGCCCTTTCCAGGGCATGCAATGCTTTACAGATGCTCAGCTCAGTTTGGCCGACAAATCCGACCCTCAGCGCTTCAGTTTAACAACTGGAGAATGGTGGCTGAGGCGAGATCTGAACGAAAGTCAACAGAGTTCTGCAAAGCTGCTCGCCCCGATGTGCTACTGATTGTTCTGGTGTGCTGCCATTCTTATAGTGATTACTATTATTTGTTGACTGCATTATTTTTGTATTTGCAGTTAGTTGTGGGAGCAGTTTATGATGCTGAACATGCAGGATATGAAAAAAAAACAAAGAAGGACTGGGCTTGGAGGTGAACCATAATGTAGAAGGGTGATTTCTTAGTTTTTAGTTTAAAATAAATAATTATGTTAAAAGAATTATTACTCACCCTTCAATAAAGTTCTCAGGGTGGCTTATACAGAGACTACAAAAACAAGTTTTAAAATTACAGCACAGGAGAAAGGCAGAAGCAACAAAAGCCTAATGAGATACTAGCCTTGGACAAAACCAGTATCTTCTAACAGCTCAGAAGCCTGGTTTATTCAGAACTACTGTCATAAATGAGCTTTCATACTGCACGGCTCAAAAAATACCATGCTTTGCAGTTTCCATCAATATTACATTAACTTCATGGCAGGAGGTCTGGCTGAGCCGGTATGATGGGTTTAGAGTGTTCAGTGGCTCACAAACACACAGACCCAAACAGATCAAGTGTACAGAGAGTAGATAATGAACTAAAAATGATGTTCCTTAAGGAAGAGCAAGTGGGGGGAAGAGTTTGAAGAAAACGGCAAGAGGCAGGGAGCAGAGAATGAAGGGACTCTGGAGATGCTTTACGGCCTTTATTATGGAGGAGGCCAGAATGCGAGAGGGGAATGACGGGGTGCTAGGGAGTCTGGCCAAGAGGCAGGATGACTGAAGGAGAAGTCAAGCAAAGTTGACTGTGACAGGAAAAGCAAGGATTTGGATTAAGAAAGGAGGTACTAAACAGAGATCATTGTCTGGGCCATACTGGCAGGAGGGAAGTGACCCAGGAAGGGAACACTTTAGGCTGGAAAACTATGAATGCACAGAGGTAGAAGGTTTAGACTCTGGTGGCGGATTTCTGCCAGCTGTCTTTTCCTAAAACCACTGCAGCATTCTACTGCCAACACCCTAATGGGGTGTAGTGGGTGTGTATTCAAGGTACTCATCTAAAATTACCAGCCAGGGCTATGCTGCCTTCTCCCTGCAGCCCTGGAAAGGAGTCTAAAGGGAGACATGCAGCTAAAAGGGGCGTATTAGAAATCCAATAAACAATGAAAAGCTGAGGCAGTTGCACAGAGCCAGGCAGCAAACATGCATTCGCTGTAAGACAGGAGAGGTTAACAGCATTCGCCGATCCTCCATCTTGAGCTTGGCAAACTCGCTGTTTCATAAAGGTCTCTGGGCTGAGGCCCAAGCCTCTGCACAGCTCTGGGGTTGCTGGCAGCACCATTTAATCCTCACACAGATGGACTGGTGTCCCTGCAGCACACCGTGGTGAGGGGCACCCTCTGCAGGTCCACAGGGAACAGCAGAAGACAAGAAGCGGGGATCTGAGACAGAATCGGGGGAACTGCATATCGAATGGAGTGACTGGCCAAGCCACTGGCACCAACCCCTCTGTTTTACAACAGCTGCGGCAGCTGCAGGTCCCGGTTCAGGCACATACCATGCCGTCGTCCTCTTCACGAGGGGAATAGGTGAGCGTGCTGGAAGAGGAGGCTGTTCGGCAATGCTGCTTGAAAGTAGTACTTCCATCCGCTACAAGGAGAACCAGGACAGATCTCTAAGAAATCCTGCAACGTCACAGTTCAGTTCCCATCTATAAATCAGATTGTAAGTCTGCAGAAGTGCTCAGTTTCCACCTATATGCAAGTCTCCTTATTGAGAAGCTCCAGAAAACATACCCCGCTCCACACACATACCTGTAAAAGAAAGCACTTCCCAATTTCCTTCCATAGCAAGCGCGAAGGGAGCAAGACAGCCATTTCAAAATTGCCATTTCGTATCCCCAAGTGCTGCTCGGAATTAGTTCAGCTTGTGGACTGTTTCTATGCACACATATTGGCCATAAAGAAAGATGTCCATCCCATCACATTCACTTTGACCCCAAGACACTCTCCCCACACCTGATGCTGAAGCTATTCAGCAAGAAGCATGCAGGAGCATCTGGCTCCAGCACCAAGCAGTCTGCCTTTAGACGGCGCTGCAGCGGGAGGATGTTCCGTCACAGAACGTCTGCTCTCAGCTGCCGAGGAGACAGTGCAGAAGCAGCCAAGCCAACTTCCGAGGAGTCTGACAGCCCCGTATTCCAGTGGTGAGCTCATTCTGCAGGCACTGGCAGCGTCAGCGTCCACTCAAACAGGGCCGCCTCAGGAGCCTTGAGGACAGCCACCCAGTGACAACAGGGCACTCTCAGCCACCACACAACGCGAAGTCATGGCTGGTCATGGGTAGGAGAGGCTGGAGCATTCTGAAAGGAGGCACGCGCAGCCTCACTCCACAAGGCAACATTTGCTGCGGGTCCTTCTTGGTCTTTCAGCAGAACCTCCCTAAGAAGGTGCAGTCTACTTCTGATTCCCACAACTCAGGGAGTACAGTGGGGACGACTGCCGGCCTGCCCCCTGCTCTGGGGCATCAAGGGGCATCTAGCTCATCATGCTGAAGATGGACTGTTGACCTCAACAGACCTTCAAGGCTGAATAGCGCTACAGTCCTTTGTTTTTTCATCAGGAAGCCAGACCTCTTTGTTCTCGGAATCAAGGGCAGACTCAGGGCAGACAGCTAGCGAGTGAGTGCTCAACACTGACCTTTTGTGATGGTGGTTACTGCAGAGTAAGAAGGCCCAAAAGTAGTCTCCATTCTTGTCTGAAAGGAGGAGGAGAGCCATTATCATGTGCTCCACAGAGGGAAATAACTAGCTAGGGTCAAGCAAAGGAGGGACAGGACTGTCAAGCTAAAACTGCAACCTGATTGGATGTGATCACCAACAGCAGGGGCATATTTAAATTCTTCTTAAAAAACAGGGATGTAAGCAAAGAATAGTTTTAAATACACATTCTACAAGTTTCATTGCATTCTCTTACCCCGTTAATGGTTTCTGAAGAAGCACCGTTTGTTGTGTCGCTGGGGAAACGATTGTAGCGGGCGTTCTTGTTGGCACTCATAATCTAATCCAACATGTAAATGTAATAAAAGCTGCCTCTAGTGACATAAAATAAAGATACTGAGTTTATATATTTTCTGTCCTACCAAAGTGCTCCACAAAAGCAGTTATCAGTGACAAGCTATTTTAAAAGAGCCAAACAGACAGGATGGATTTGATTTAAATCACATTTTAAATCACTAGTCAGTAAGACTAGATTTGAATCATGGCTTTCTACATAATTTGCATGCATGCCTGCTTTACTCGTAGGTAGAGGAACATCATTAAAATATTCCCAAACTGAGTCTCTTTTGTGGCCTGCTGCCATTATAGGTTTTCTCCTCCAGGGAAAAATAATATGAGAGACCTCAGACTAAACACAGAAAGAGACTTGTGGAGTTAATTCCGTTCAAAAGGGCTCCCTTTCATTTTTACTGCTTGCCCCTCCCACCTCACCCTTCGCTTCTTGTGCAGATCTGTTCCACTCCCAACAAGCTTCTTCTAGGCATGGATTTTTTTTAAACTTAGTCCTTTAGAGGGAAGGGGCTGATTCTGTGTACATAGATTTGCAAAGGAACAATGGTATTAACATCATTTTCTCAACTCTGTATATTTGTTTTATTACATTTTTGCTGTGAAGAAGAGGCATATAATCACAGCTCTGAGTGCTGTAAAACCAGCATCTGTGGTAATATCTTCTAGATAGAAAAATTGCCCAATAACCTTACAGAAACGTCTGGAACAGCATAACATTGTAAATATATTAATAGCATTCATTTACCAAATATTTAAGTATTGCACGAATATACACCCTCATGTTTCATAATTAAAAACTAATCCTTCTTGCAAGATGAATAACCTTTGGACTATAATGTATCCAAAACAGAAAACACTGTTTGGATAGATTTTTCCTCAAAAGGCATTTTATTTTTAAAAAATACAATTAATTTTTAAAAAATCAGATTTTCTGATTTTAACAAATCAGCCATTTTTATCCACGCTGCAAGCAGATAAAGCAAAACAGAAGCAAGACACCTCTTATTAAAAGTGTGTCTACAGCTTAAGTCCCAAATGAGTTGCAATTTAGAATGTCTGCAGATTCCACAGTTGTGGCACTCCAAATGAGAACATCCTGCCCAGAAGGCTAAACACCTGAAGGGCTCCACCAGAAGTGGTGCTTCCTCAAGTATTCCTAGAACGTGGTCAGGTTCTCACAGGATGCGCCTTTAAAAACATATGGTTACTGAGATAATGCCTGGAACCTACCTTGAAAACTCAAAGCAGCTTGAAAGACAGCCTTATCACCACTACAATTTATGAATTTATTAGTTTTAAATCCCAGTTTTTCCAACGAATTCATAGTGGCTTGCATAATTTTCCTCCTGCTGCTCTCCATCTTTTGCCCACAAGAATCCTGTGAGGTAGGTTGGGCTTGGGAGTCTTTGACTGGTCCAAAGTCACCCAGTGGGCTCCATGGCCGAGTGGGGACTAGAACCCAGATCGTCCGAGTTTCAGCCCTGCACTCTTCACACTCTACCACAGTGGCCCTGTGGTGACACAGGTACAAGCCGTTATAGCTCAGGCTGGCCATAGATAGGCCAAGTCCCGTTGTTCCACTGGCAAGGTTAGGCCCGTCTCCTGCTACTATCGGGCACATGATCAACCCCAACCCCAACCCTTTCTTTCCCCCTTACTCAGCAACCAGGATTAAATGACTGGTAGCAGGTGGAGTGAGCCTGGGCTTGCCCCTTCCCTTCACCCCCATCCCTTCTCTGTGCACAAAGAGGAAGAGAAATGAAAGCTCCCACCAGTAAGTAAGAAGAAATCACAAAGTTTTCCATCCAGTCTTATAGGTCCTGGCACAAGCCTGGCAATTCATAGTACACTAGATCCCTTCCACCACATGGTACCTGTGATTAATCATTAATACAACAGGAACCTAACATCTGTTCTTCACATGATTCAATGATAACGAAGGAAGAAGAACTAGAACTGGTAGGGGCTTTTCAGCAGTGCGCTTGAACTTTGTACTTAAACAAAATTAAGTACAACATACATGACGTAGCCTTGTTTGCTTCAGTTTCCCCAAGAACAACAGAAAGGGCTGCATGAAGAACTTCACCGACAGAAGAGGATCGGATGACTTCATGGGATGCACTCAGAAAGAAAAGAAAACCTTAGAATCAACTTAGCAGTCTAGCCCTCCTTAAACAATTCTTACCAAATGTTACTGACATTTGTAAGAAAATCTGTAACACCAAACTCTGACCTTTCCAGTAACATATACACAAACTCTACTGTACATAAGGAAGTTAAGCAATAACATAATAAAATGCAGCACTCTTGGTAAAGAGATGGCGCTCTCTCCATGATGGCGCAAGGCAGACGGCTGACAGCTTGCAATGTTTCATAGTCTTTCGTTTCAGTAAGAGATGGCTCTTCAGGAGCACCCATCATGGATTCCAAATAAAGCCAAGTGGAAGAAGTAGCAGGGAATCAGTCAGAAACAGGAAGCTCCAGGCCATGGTTCTGCTCAGTCTAAACTCTCCAGCCCTACACAAAGCCAGTATAAAACCAGAACCCAAACATTAGCCATACTGATAGCTTAAGGGGATGGATGCTGGCATCTATACTTGAAAAATATAAATGCTTCTCAAGCCAGGCTCTTGAGCTCACACAACCAATTCACTGGCACAAATGATTCCAGTTATCTGATCCAGGCATGGCCTCAGCACAGCTGTTTAACAATCACCTGATGGGTTCACACACAACCGCATATGCTACCATCCACAAAGAAGCCCTTTACCTCACAAGGTGCCTGAAAAGAGGATCACCAGCAGAGAAAAACGCAGCAAACCTTCTCAAGCAGCACTTCCCTCTTCCAAACTGTCTCTGCCGGCCCTGAGCTCACCCAGCTCCTGATGATGTAAACAGAAAGGCATGCAGAGTGGTAGGCCCTGTGCACATTCATCTGGAAAATCCCCACCAGGCTCAACCAATCCTCTCTCAGCTTTCATTTGATCTTTTCTCAGCAGGATTTTCTCTAGAAAGGGTAGCCATCAAGGGTTCCTCGGGCCAGAAAGTAAAAGCCACCCAACCAGGATCCATGACAGTTTCATGAGTAACGCCACCGAGACGCCTGACTCTTTGCAACTTAAGAATGAAATGGTGTCTGGCTGTTTGTTTGCAAAGAGCAACTGTACCAAACTGAAAAAGTCAAGTATAAAATCATGAAATTTGATACAGAGTATAAACAGCTCTTTTTTTAATTCCCCCATTATTTATTTTAGACCCCAAAAACCATAAGTACAATATATCATAACAATAATATAACCTAACAAAAACACAATAATAAAAGGCAAATGATAAAGTGCCCCACCACCCCGGAGACCAATGCTACCACCATTCACATACTATACCAATTAATAATATCTAATATACTTTAATTATTTCCATATCCCCTCTAGAAAGTCATATAAACTTGACTGGATTTATACCCTTTGCCATCTATAAGTACTGCTTTTACAAAATCTTCCCAGATGTCATTATATTTATTTGCTTTCATTAACCCTCTTTTAATTTTTATTTCTGTCATCAGTTTATCATTACCATGTTCCATATTCCATTATGCCATTCATGCCTTTGCAAAACCCAATTCTGTTTCCAATATTTAACTATCACTAGCCGAACTGCCATTATCATACTTACAATCAATTCTTGCTTAGCTTCACTTATATCTTGTTTTTCTATCAACAGTAATTACACCATTCTTGGTGACATTTCTAAGTCTATATCTAAAATTTCTCCAACTTCCTTAAATACTATCATCCAAATCTTTTGTATGTTTTCACAATCCCACCACATATGTTCCAATCTCTTCACCACATCTCCAACATATATTAGAATATTCATCATTGATTTGATTTAACTTATCTGGTGTTAAATACCATCTCCATATCGCCTTGTATCCATCCTCTTTAACTCTAACTGACATACTCTTATATACTCTTCTGTTCCGTATATTCTTCCAATCCTTGTCTTTTATTTCACCTACATCCATAGCATAAACAGCTCTTCATATTGGGGATGACTTTTTCCTCACACCGGAACACAGGCACATTAAAGGAGAACCAATGAATCCATGCAAGATTAAATTAGGACACTGAGAAACTAACACTAATAAAAACTGCAGTGTTATGTTATGGGAGAAAATACTGGGCAGGTAAGCCCCTGGTGCCTGGGCTTCACCATTTCTTCTAAAGAATCATAACTGTTTCAGCTGTCCCATTTCTAGGAGTACACATTTCTGAGCTACACATAACAGTTTGTGAAAACAAAAGTTTTTGCTCCTAAAAACCATCAGTCCAGATAAACTAAAGGAAAGGAAACAAGTACCTCACTTTATATACTGTTTATTTACTAAAACATTTATATGCCATCCTTTGCCGCAGCCTCAGGACAGCTTACCAGAATGTAAGTTAATAAGCTGGCACACACGACACATATGGCGTTCATATATAGTCAACCCTTGCTTTCACAGGTTTAACTTTCGCGATGCGGAGGGCCAACTGTACACTGGGCACATTTCAGAGACATCAGACCTAGAGAGCTTCTGCCAAACCCTGCGGGTGTCAAGGCAGGCCATGCGGTGCCCGGGGGCATCAGTGCATCCCTGAAGACCTTTCCTGGTTCCCAGCATGAAGCCTTCACCTTCACACACTGTTTTTGCTTTTGAAATTACCACATTTTCCTTTCAGCAATTGGGATGGCAGCAGAATATGTTTCTCTTAGTACTGAAAACCGTGCTATCAAAGAAGGAACGCAGTCAGCACCCCTTTCACTCAGCCTCCGAGATTCCTTGTCCTTTGTCATGCCTTCCATGGCAGTCATTCTACAGTAGCACTGATAACAGTTTCTCAAACAGCTGTGGCCCAGATTGCCTGCCTGCCCCCAGCGATGAGCCAGAGGAAGCAACCGTTTGGTAGAGTGCAAGACAGCTTCCTGTGTTCCTGTTATCTCACCCTATTATTGCACTAATCCTTCCATGTATACCCCCAGTTTTCCCGGCAAGGAATTCAAGGCAATCTGTTAGTCTCTTGTAAATTTTATCTTCACAACAAACCCAATAAATTAAGCTATTTATTACATTTCTATACTGTCCAAGAGCCAAAGCTCTTACAGTATATTTTACAAAAGAATAAAACATTAAAAATACAATATAAAACATAACAACAAAGCCATTTGGGGCCAGTCACTGACCCTCAGCCTAACCCGTCTCACAGGATTGTTCTAAGCTCAAGAGGAGAATGGGGATTTTGTAAGGCACTTGAGTTCTTCAAAAAGCAAAAAAGACAGTTTACAAATATTACGAATAAACAGACAAAACCAATTTTAAACAATCAGCAATGAAGACTCAGGAATCATTAAAACCTTGTATGTGGTCAGCGGATTGGGAGTCTTAATCTGGCATTAAAAGGATGAGAATGGAAACATTCACACGTCACAATAACCCATCCTGGCAATTAGCCAAAGCAAGCTGGTTGCCACCCAACAACCCACAGTGATCTCAACAGACAACTGGCCTCTCCCTGTTACTGGTTTCTTCCTTCCCCCGGGTGTCTGAGGGAACACTGTGGAAAAAGCAAGCTGTTTCCCCACTCCGCACCATATTCACAAGCCATTTCAGGTTCACTGTGGCTTTTCCCGCTGAGGAAGGGAACTCATGTACCTCAGGGTGCCCCAGCATTTGTTCTTGTCCCTGAAATTCTATCAACTTGGGAACATGCAAAAGTTTGAGCCAATCCGTTTATGGAAGTATTTAACAGCCATCAGCATTAGAACTCAAGTGGTTATGCCAGATTTAGAAAGGCTTACAAAATTTCTTCATGAGAGGAAACTAGACTCATACATTGACTTAATGTTTAAAAACTACACTTTTCCAAATACATTTTCACAGATATTTGAAGAATGTCAGGGTGTTTTTTTAATGCTAGGCAGCCTTGCAATATGTTACTGGGCATTTCGAAGACAGTGTTCATAGCTGTGAGGGATTACAAGAGTCAGCTTGCTCTCCAGGGGAAAAAACTCCAACAGTTTAAAATGCAGTGAGCTCCCCATAGGGGTTGAGCCAGTGCCACCTGCCTGAAGTGCCACCGGAGCACTTTTGGAGCAGGTGGTACTGATGGTCATCTGGGGGACCAGTGGTACAAGCGGCAAAGGTATCTTGCTGCTGTTCTCATAGCACTCTGTAGTCAATTCCCTGGACTCGTGATGGGGTTGATCTGGATAAAACTGTTGGGTACGACACCATGAGTACAGCGTGTACACACACAAACCACACTGAAGAAATCATTCTGGGATCGTATGACATGACAACCCAGTATAGCTAGCAACCCACAATGAGTTGCTGTGTCATGCGAAACCACTCAGAGCCGGTGCCAGGTAGACCACCCTAGGGAAAGCATTCCACAATCGAGGCCACTACCGAAAGGTCCTCTCCCTTCTTGCCTTCCTCTGCAATTCTGCAGGAAGATGCACTTAGAGGGTCCCAGACAGTTTTGTACAGGTAGATTCGTATCACAAAGTTAGGCTCTGAGTTTGAGTCACCAAGGTCACCCAAGGAACTTCATGGCTGAGTAGCAATTGAATCCAGGTCTCCCTAATTCCAGTCCAACAAAACCCAAATGACTACATCATGCTACAATAGCAAGAATACTGCATTCTGTGTAATGGCCTCCCAAATAACACTAATCAAATCCTTCTCTTTTTTCCTTTCAGAACCAGTGCGATGTAGTGATTAGCTTTGGACTAAAGGGGCCTCAGATTCAAATTCTGAATCAGACAAGAAGCCCACTGGGTGATTTTGGGCCAGAGACTGACCTTCAGCCCAACCTACTGCAAAGGACAGTTGTTAGGATACAAATGGGGTGAAAGAGGATCATGCATGCCACCTTGTGCTCCTTGGTGAAAAGGCAGGACATAAATTTAATAAACGCAGAAATAAGTAACAATATACAGCCCAAATAGAAATGAGTAACAATAAAACATACATATTCTAGTACATGCAGCAGTGTATCTCAACAATAAATAAGAAGCTCACAAATAAAACCCATTCACTGTGTTTTCTGTCTAAGAGTTTGAGTTTTTCAATTGAGCTTGATTAAAAAATGTGCATCTGTGCTTGAGAAGAGCACAGAAGCACACGCTCCAACAGTAGATGAACAAGGAGCAATAAGCAGTTGCCTTAAACGCAGATAAGGAGTCTGACTTCAGCGGCTGTACCTGTTTGTGGCTTCATGTAACAGTGGCAAAACAGAACTTTTATTTGTGATTGGGAAAGCTGGAATTCCTGCTAGGAGCATAAGTGCAACTGTATTCGAATTGCCATTCAGTCTGGTTCTTTTGACTTACACACTGGGTAGTACACATGTACATAAGTGTATAGGCCATCTCAACTTATTCTCAAACTCTTATTCTGTTATGGTTTACGTACATGTAAGCTGTAACTCTTGACTATGTTATGGATTTCGCATGACCTCTGAGGAAGGCCGAATTTCCCCCAAATGCTGGGCTTAAGGAAAAATCAAGGAACGCTTTGTGACCACGTGTCCTGCGGGGAGGCTCTTTGTTTTGCCCTAGACGTACGTGCAAAGAACGGCTCAGACCCCTTTCCCAGCTGTGAAACTGACAGGGTGACCTTGGCCCGGGCGCACCCGCTCTTCCCTTCAGGCTAACCTTGCAGGGCTGTTGTTGCAAGCACGACATAGACGGAAGTCACGCGCGTGGCCTTCAGCCCCCCAGGGAAAGGAAAGGAGCACTTTCACCTGACGACCCACCGCGCGACGGGGGGCGAACACCGCCCTACTTCCTCCTAGGGGCGCTTTTCCAGGGCGGGGGACGGGAGGCTGCAGGCGCCCTTCCCTTGCGCGGAAGGGAGCACCGCAGCCTCGGAGGTGCTTCCGAGGACTCCATTTCAAGGGGGCCTCCAGACCCGCCGCCCTCCTCTCGCCCCTTCCCCGCACGACCCCTCCCCCTCGGGGCGCCCTCAGGCTCCGCCCACGCCGCCTCCCGCTCACCTGCGGGCAGGGGCGGCGGCGGCGCGGGCCCGCGCGCGGCTCCCCAGCACATGGTGCCGGGCCCCTCCAGCTTAGCACCGCCAGTCGTCTGGCCTCCTCAAGCCGCGGCCGGCCGGAAGCGGCGTTACGTTGGTCCTCGCTTGGGGCGGTGGGATTGGTAGTTCTTCTTTGCGCACGGCTCTGCGGTGCCCGGGGTTGCCCGTAGGCGTCACCGCCTACGACTACCAGGAGCCTCTGCTCTGCCGACACCTTTGGATTGGCTCTTCGGGCCCTGGACTGCTGTTTTTTCCTGTCCGAGTGGGGCTTCCGCCCCAGCCGTGAACGCGCCGAGTTGCCCAATCGCGTAGCCTGAAAAAAGGAGGGGTGGGGCAAAATCGAGCGAGGAACAAGTCGAAGCGGAACGGGGCGGCGGACGGGCGAGCCAAAGGAACATGAAGCCGATTGGCTGGGTCGCTGCCCCGGAGCCAGCCAATAGCAACGCGCGGTGTGCGCGCATAAAAGGCGGCGCCAGGAGTCGCCCGCCCTCTCTGTGCTCGAGGCGGGCGCGCTGCCTCCGTGTTGGTGGCTGTGGCAGCGGGACCCGCGCGCGGCCTGGCCTGGCCGGTGCGCGCGCCCGCCCTGCCGGCCGCGCCGAGGGCTGTCCTGTGCCGCCGACAGAGCCCCTGCGGGCTGGGGGTGGAGCGCGAGGAGGTCGCAGTCGGCCCCGCGTGGGAACGGCCGGAAACCGGGCCCGCGTGCGGCCTCGCGAGGCCCTTCCTCGCCGGCCTGCCCGGCTGGGCTTTGCGCGGGGGCTGCCCCTTGCCGAGCCGGCCTCGCCGAAAGACGCTCTGCCGGTGCGCGGGCGTGCTGCCGGGAGAGAGGTGAGCACGGGGCCTCCTGGCGCGTCGTCGCCTGCGCACCTCGCGTGCTCGCCAGGGATGAGCTGCTTCGATTTTCTGACACCTCGTATGAGAGCTGCTTTCAGCTCCTGATTATGAGCGTGGGCTGAGGCTTGAGCGGCGCGGGTGCTGCGATCAGCGGCTGCTCGTGCGCGGTGGCAACTCCGCGTGGCAGGCGCTGAATTCGTGTTTTTTGCTTTTTAGGCTTCAGCTGGAAACGAGACCGGCTTTGACGTCTTCGCTGGACGAAGCAAAATGGTTTGCTGTGTGCTTTTATGGCGAAGCTAAATAGCTGAGCCTATAATGCGGGGAAACGGGTGCACAGTGTGGGATGAACTTGAATTTGGTTTTGGCTGAGAAACTTGGAAGAGGCATGGGGGTGGCCTGTTCTGTAAACGTAAACAGGTCTGACTGTTCCTCTCAGTTTCAAGAGTTAGTAAAAACTGATTAAGGTCTATGTAGAGTAGGTCCATTGACATCAATTGGGTCGTCACATTTCTGGAGCAGGGCTTCAAAGTGCTGGCAGCTTCCACTTGACAAGCGTGCCTTTTGTAGGTGCACTTGTACGATGCTCCAAAGTATGTTCCGTTTCCCCGCATATCTATCTACCCAGACATGGAGGTTATCTTCAGGTGTCCTCCAGGAGACCCTTCCAAAGGCAGGTAGGTGTGGTTACCGGGAGGGAGGGTCTTTTTGATTGTGGCACGGCCGGTTTTGGAATGAACTCTCCAAGGTGATGTATCCTTTTCAATGCCAGGTATATACATTATTTTTATATATACTATTTTGTTCAATTATGCTTATGTGCAATTGCCAATTTTAAGTATAGTTTTATTCTTTTAAATTAATGTGCATGTCTTTTTAACAAATTTAATAAGGATAGTAGAGTCACCACATAATATGAAAGAAGTTTTGAGTTTTCTTTAATGGACTATATTTTTTCTGGGCTTGTTCTGGTTAGATGTTGTAGCAGTCAGTGGTTCTAATCTAAAATTCACGTTGTAGGTTATTCCACTTTTGTCACCCAATGTGATAACTGGCTGGGTGACATCTGTTGCCCCCAATCCAAAAAGAACTTGGAGGCTTGGGTCTGCAGGACTCCCTTACAATTTTAATAAAGCTCTAAATTAGATCTCACCCCTGGGAAACAATGCCTCAGGTATAAAAGCTTTTTAAAATGCAGCCTATGGAATAAATTCTCTACCTTAAAGTAGTAGTCTAGATCCTGCAGTGCAGAGATGGGGTGAATACCATCCCAAGAGATTGAAGGAAGAATAAGATGTTCATTAATGGAAATTTATGAGAGAGACTAAAATGTCGCTTTTCCTGGTTGAGGTTAAAAATTCTTAGATATAAACTAATTCCTAAATTGACTTTCCCCACTAAATCGCAATAGTTTTTCTGTTAGAGCTGACTTCCTTGTGATAGGATAAAAAACCTTAAAGTTGTCATCCTTTTGACAAATCTTGCTGCAAGTGGTAGGTGTTATTTTTGTCAAGATTATTCATGTTATTTAAACAGGAAAGTGAGTTTGCCAGTTTTGAATATGGGTTGTGTTCTGTTGATGAGATCTCAAGAACGGAGTCTTATTTGTCCATACTACCAATAGAACTGCCACTAAGACTTAACCATAATAAATGGGGTGTCCAATAAAAGCCTTCTGAATGCAGAACATGTGCTGGTAGGTACCCATTTTCCAGAAAATACACTACATATGCTAATGTTTTTTCCAGTACAAAGTACAGAGGTGAAGAGCAAATGTATAAACATATAAGGGCTTTTTAAAAAATACTGAGTGTATTGCAGATGTTAAACTCTGACTTGGAAAACATCTTTGACTGAATGTGACCACCCAATGTATTCCTGACATTTTGTACATACTTTGTGTAATGAAGTTGATGGGACGCTGGAAAATATTTACTATATGAAGGTATTGAAAGCTGCATAACTAAAGGCAGGACATCCTTCACTCAATATTCCAAGTGAAGTTGACACCCAAGCAAACAGGTGTGGGCTTGTTGACTCATCATGCAGCTGGATCACAAAATGTTATGCTTCTGTACATGGGTACTCAAGCTACAGTCCATGGGCTGAATCTGGCCCACCATACCCGTTTATCAGGCCTGCCATAGGTTTTGGACTCACTTGGAGAGGACGATCTCTGAGCAAGTCCAAAAGCTCTGAGCCGGCGTAGGCATACTCAGTGGGGAGATGGGCGCGATCGCGGTGGTGCTGGGGGGGGATAGCCATGGTTGCGCCCATCCTCCCCCCCCAGCATGATTGCGGACATTGTAGCTATATCCCTTGAATAGGGACATGCTCTTCCCCACCTCATCTTGGCTTCTGCAGCCCAAGTGAGTGAGGCAAACATTTTTCAATTGCTTTTTAAATTTTCAATTAATGTGCAGAGTTCATTCCTATTTTTTTTTCAAACTATAGTCCAGCCCCCTAACAGTCTGAGGGACAGTGAACTTGGCCCCCTGTTTAAAAAAGTTTGAGGACCCCTGCCTCTGTGTGATATTTGCTGAATAAGCTTTGCCGAAAAACTGGAAGGGTTCTGTGACTGCAACGGTCCTGACAATCTTTGGAGGAATTGTTTCGGGACTGCTTGCTGATGTTTTCTTTTGTCAAACATTAAATAGGAACCTAAAATTAGTATATCTCGGTTCGCTCATAAAAGCATTCCTGATATATTAAACATAAAATAAAGTTTATTCAGAAAACTACAACTATACTGGATTTGGTTTTAAATGTTCTTAAATGTGGTGATATTTAGTTAACAGCTTTTCTGTACTGTCCTTCACTGAGTCCCAGGACAATAATACAAAAAAAGCACAGCATCAACCATCAAATGACGACAAAACCCATCTCTAAATGGTGTCAACACATAAAATGTTTTGGTCCGATGACATAACTGGGGTGCCACCACAGAAGGCGCTTCTCTGGGTAGCCACTCTCCTGATCTTCAGGGAGGGTTCCCAAGGGAGGACCTCCTGTCCAGATCATATGGGGCAGGCAGGTATGTATATTTTGTAAGCGGTGTTACCCACAAAAGACTGTTCAGTGTTCCTAAAGGAGCCTTCCTGAACTTGTTGGCCTCCCAGCATCTTGAACTGCAGTGCCCAGCATTCCTGACCACTGGCCAGGCTGCCTGAGGATGATGGGATCTGGAGTCAAGCATTTCTGGAGACTACCAGGTGGTGGAAAGTTGTTCTAATGCAACAAAGATTTGCAAAAAGCATTAAAATCATTTGAATAGTATGCTGAATTTCCTTCAATTTTTTTCTATCATTTCAGAATTTCTGGAAATTTTACACTTAAGTCTGTACATTAAAAAACCAGTCTTGTACTCTGGTGCAAGCCAAGGATCTCATTAGTTGGGGATGGAATGTCAGTGTTCACTTTACTTTGAGAACAAAAGTGGATCATAAAATATATTACAGTGCAGAATACAGTGGTACCTTGGCTCACAAACTTAATCTGTTTCACAACTCTGGTCACGACCCCAATTGGTTGTGGGCCAAGTCAAATTTCCCCATAAGGTTCCATGTAATTGATTATTTTATTTAGAAGGCTTCTATGCCGCCCCATTCACCGAAGCCTTGGGGTGGCTCACAATGAGTCAACCTGGCCCGAAAAATAAAATAAAAATAAATAATATTAACAATTAAAATAGCGTTTGAATAAAAAGGTCTTCGCCTGGCGCTGAAAAACAAATAATGACGGCGCCAGGCGGACCTCTCTGGGGAGCGCATTCCATAGACTGGGCGCCACCACAGAGAAAGCCCTCCGAGTACTTACCCTCCTAATATCCTTCACGGAGGGTTCCTGGAGGTAATTAAGGTTAGTATGTTCTGTAATGTTTTAATCACAAAAATTTGAAGCAAAGTGACTAAGAACAAAGGTTGCAAGT